ATTAATATTATTATAATACAATAAGTGATCGTGATCAGAACTCCTCAAATTACTACAATACTATCTCAAAACAGTAAACTTTTTTTAAAATAATTGAATACTTTAAAAAAAATTGAGTATATTTAAAAACCGTCGTTTTTTTTAATTCCTACGAGCCAGGAACAGGTTAATGTGACCAATTTCCTCCTGGTCCAAAGCTTCTATGAAGGTTAAGGTAGTTGTGATATGACGCTCTTTCACTGGCAGCTGCAGCTGCGATGGTAAGTTGAGCATTTAATGAGCTATCATAGAATAAAATATACACATATAATGTGATTAAATATCTTCAGTTGACGAGTGACCCACACAGTTAGTTACAATGTTATTTATTCAAAATAGAGAGAAAATGACAGATTTTTTTTTACGTGTTTGCTAGGGTACTGCCGTAACCCACAGCCGTAACAACAGGCGACATTCACTACGCTTCATAATACACATTCCTTAACTATCTTATTGCCTGCGACGAGCCAGCAACAGCTCAATGTGAAATTTCCTCTCAGTTGAAATCTTCTACATGGTCAAAGTAGTTTAAAATTATATAATATTAAAATTTAGAGCGCGAAATTTAGAGGTTTATTAAAAAAAACTTAGCGAGAGTTCTGCTCTTCAACCAACCCTCGGAATCGCAGGTACTTTGACTTGACTTCATAATACAACTATGTTAACCATTATAGAAGTTTGCGGCCGTGTGGCTATGATTGATTAAATTAGGTTCTGGCTCTGTGACTATTAATAGTTTTCGACCGAGAGGAAATAATTGATGAAAAAAGGCCTCGCCGACTATGAACAGCGTCAGCGTCTGTTCGCATAAAGTGATATATTCGAAATGATACGCAGACGTAACTACTTATATAGTAGATTAAGATATTTAGTAATTTTATATCTATCGCGCGATGAGCTACTATATTTTTCCATGTTTATTTGTCATTTTTTTCTCTACAGAAGCATAACTAAAACAGACTAGATATCATAGTAAATGATTATGGAGTCCATTAATGTAGGCCACAGATTTAATATAAGATTGCATCACTTGGCGCTCCGATTATGTCGGTATATTCTGTATTTATAGAATAATACCTAATATATACAAATTATATTTAAATTATATATAGTATATTGTATCCGCATTTAGAAGGAAACGAAAATTTATGTTTCTTATATAGGCTGTCTCCTATAAGGTATTTAAAATTAAAATTTCGAATAAAATGCAAATGGCGTGCAAGTTGCAGGGGGAGCACCAACGGTCTTTACGAAATAAGTGGCCATGGAGCGATTTCTACAAAATTCTACAAAAAGTTTACAGATTAATCAATGAGTCGCATTTCGCTTATCAGCTTTGCTTTTAAATAAAATAGACTATACAGAAATTAATCACTGTTACCATATAGTACGTATTAATCAATGATAAAAACCTATGTGCACTACGTATTAAAAGGGTCGTACTTACGGATATTAAATTATACTTATTTATTAGTCATGAATCTGATAGCATACATTTTATCACTAATAATACAACATTGTATAGGTAAATATCGTGTGTAGGTATATCTCGCAATTAATATTATGATTAATTGCGAGATATACTACACACTACATTATCATATAATAGATGAGTCTACTACTTTATGATAATAATAGTAGATCTACTTACCAGACATTTATTGAAATGTCAATAAATGTTTCAATTGTAAAGTTCGTATTTCAAAAGATATATATTTCATTAGGTCCCTAAACTAATGTTGTACAGCCAGTAGTTTCATAATAAGTATGTTTTAAGGTAGTGTGTAAAAATCCGTTTACGTAATGGCATTAATTCAGTTCACATAACACAGGTTCATATTAAAATGTGAACAGCGAGATAACTGCTTCTCAAACGATGGTTTGTCATAAGTTTCATCTCGTCGTCTTTTGTGTTCTATACAACAAATTTAAATAATAGAACGCAAGTAAAACCTACATAGTATTAAATGAAAGAGTGAAATAAATTTGAGTTCAATACCTATAAAAAATACCATTGAGACGTCTGAAATATCTTCTACTTTTGATGTGGTACACAAATTGGACAAAATGTTTAGTTTGAATACATAAAGATTTTCATATTGACCAATGGCTACAGTTAAAGAGTGCAACGTTCGTTAGATCATAACACGATTAAATTTCACATATTATAATAACGATGTATTATATACGGGAACATCTCGGAAATATTGTACACATTTCTTACATAAAAATATGATTTAAATATTTTTCGTTATTCTTTAATAAGTACCCAAAGGGTTACGTACTGATCATATACCTAAATAGAAGTTTAGTTTAATAATATTATATTAATTTAGTTTCATTTAGATACAATGGGATAATATCTAAAAAATTAGATGTCTATTTCTTTTACGAATGTAATAATGATTTCCTTATAGACCAAATTTTGGTAGCTGTAAAATCATCTAATTTATTTGTACACGATTTTCGACGATTTTTCAATAGCGATGCTGGTAAGAAAATTCGTTTTATTTTTCATGATATCATATGAACAAAATCTCATCTCAATACTTTGATCAATTGTAATTTATTTGCGTTCGGACGCTTTTACATCAGAGGGTGAGTATGAGTACAGTATTTCCATTGTAACAGGGTAATGAAATGAGACAAAAATATTAAAATCTGTATTAAAATTTGAAAAAGAATGAACTTCTGACCTGTCTGACCATCAATAAAGTCATGTACACATTATGTCACTGATTGACGTTAATTCCGGCTTCCAAATTAAAGTCAATAGGCTCAGCGGTCGGGGTTCCACGGAAATTCACGGTGTACTCTCGTTTTTAAAATCATACAGGATAAAAAAGTGCGTACAATATCATTGTAAAGAATTAATTATTGGTTGACAACAAATTATCTGGTGTTAATAGAGATATCAGAAATGTTCCTAAAGATAAATAAAAGAAACAAGTTAACGTTCTAGTTGTGTATTTTATGTGTAATTTTTTTATACTGAACACAATGCGACGTAGAATTGTGTTATAAAACACGGCCTCATCTGCCCTTTGTATTTCGTAAATACTTGGACTAGGTCAGTAACTAAAAATCCTACAGAAACCTCCTCTGGGGGAGTTTGGAGTCAGCACTGACGCCACAGCGGTAGACATACATCAATCACGAACTCAGTAGCGGGACTAGCGGGTCAACTCTAGATTATGGCATCTATAATTAACATAATGTAAATTGCTCAAAACATGTAACTCTATCACAAACAATATTACTTAGTAACTGATGACTTAGATCTACAAAACAAGCGAATTTACCGATCGATGAAATCCAATCCCACAAACGTGTATTCCTGCGTCAATTATGCGGGATCAGTTACTTGGAATTATACAAGAGGTATCCGCCGATATCTGTAGTCAGTTTGAAATCAAATTTGAATACGAAATTAGATGTCTGTCTATATCCAAATTTTGGAAAGTCAAAGAAAAATATGTAGTTACGATCGTTTGATCTTGTAAGGTTACAGGAAATAGATTATAATAAAGCAGTGTCTTACTTGTCGAGGTGACATTTTTTCTTATTTTATTATAAATGTTTTTACTGTTCGCTGCAGAGTACGTACTAGTATATTAATATGTTATAACAATTGCAACCGTGTGAACTCGTGTGTATCAGTGCGTGTTATGGCTACTACTCGTCACTCGTCAATAGTGGACATATATAAGGTTTTGTCATTTTGAGAATATTTTTAGGAGTAGGTATTCACTTTTTTTTTTTTTGCAATATAATAAAACTGTAATTTTTAAAGTTATGCTGAAATCGTAAAAATCAAAAATGTGCACTGTTCAGAACTTCTCAAAATTATATTTTGAGAAGTTCTGAACAGTGCACATTTTTGTACAGGACTTTACATTAAATCAGTATTGTCTACAGTATAAAATGTGTGTAGGTATATGTAGTACTCACATCCTCGTACATCTCTAGGTACATCTGCGCTTTATACTTTTTCATGCATTCGACGTTCCACAGAAACAAAGTTGCCATAATGTGCCTGAGGCGAAATTGTTGTATATATTCCAAAACCTTCCTTCTTTTACATGATGAAATTTCTGGGACCACGTATAAATAAGCGTACAAATTGTATTTCGGATGCAATGTCTTATACGGGATTGGACCCTTACCTTCGCCCTGATTTCTTTCCCTTTTCCTATAACCTTGGATGCTTCAAACAACACGATAAACAGTTAGCCGCCATAGTGCAACCAACCGTGAACGATGAATATCCTTTCGATGTGGGGAGTAATGTGGAAAAGTAACTCCACTGCTAGCAACGTATAACATAACAAGAATTAACCACAATGATGGCCAGGTGGGTACCCACGGAAGTTAACCTAACTTGGTATGATGGTACATTAATTAATTGGCTCACAAGTCTCTATTACTAAGGAGAGAACGATTATTAGAACTAGTTGCCCATTGCCAGCAATCTAACATCAAGAATGGACTTCAAGCCTAATATTTATTATATAATATAATAAATACATAGATGATCAATATTTTTTTATGAATGAAACATAAAAAAATATTGAACGATGTTATAATTTAATAGGTGCATATACATTGATTTGGTGTTCATGTGCCCTATTAGATCGACCTCCACGGGGTCATCCCTCTAAACAAACGGGGTTAAATTACATACGACATACAGGGCAGGGTGACCTGATTCTTTTATCATTCACTGGTACTCTTATATAGTATTATTTCCTTAATACAGTCTGGATTAATATTCTATCATCACCCATTTACAAAATCTTGGTTCATCTATTGTATCAACTTCTAAATTGGGAACATTGTAATTAATTATTTTTTTACCTCGGTACGTTATATTGTTGAGATAAGTTATCTACTTAGTTCAACTTCAAATAATATTATATTATTATCAATAGTTTAGTCACAAAAAAACAAAAGATACTTACTGAATTGAATATTTGCTAAGAACTATTTCATCTTTCTTGTTATCTTTTCTTGAACTGTATAACCACCAAATTGCTGCTCCTAACAATACAACGAGCATGACAATATCGAATGTGCTGAATAGCGATCCACCAGCGGCGGCCGCGGCGGCCGTGGTCGCATCCTTCAGAATATCCTGTGTACCGTCTGACATTTTGGAGGTTATATTAATTTGCACAACAATTCAAATAAATCGTAAACACCTTTATTTATCTTATAAAATAAAGAACAAGTATTCAAGTGGCTAACGATATAACACGTCCAAAAATATTGCGTAGCACTAATGACACTATTTAGTTTGACCACTTATCAACACATGATTTCCTCAGATTACGTTTAAGTTCGTGACTGTTCATGACGTGACAGAAAGCAGGCTGGTTGTAGTTTTATTGCTGGTCTTTTTTTTTACTTGACGACTGAGATGGACGAGGTTCCTCTCTTTCTAATTATAACGAGGAGTAAACGAATATTGTCGTGTTTATACGAAGTTAAACAGTAATGCGTCATTCATGCATGACTAGTTTAGTGCATATTAGTTCGCGAAGCGGAGTGTTCAACTTAGTTCGCAGCTGTGTTCAGAACTAGTTCATTCGTTTCCGACTCGAGTCAGAGAAAGGCACTAAGCTGGTCTACAACATGTAGGATTTATTGATTATTTTTAAGCAGCAATAATATTCCTTAGTTCGCAAATTACGCGTTCCTTTTTTTTACAGTACGTATAGGTATAGTAGTATTGTATAAAACAAATTAATGAGGGGCACACATAAAATTGTATTATAAACAAACATTACTCTTTATTTATGTTCATAATAATCTGTAAATGTTCAATCATGGGTTCTTTAAAGTGTAACTAACATTTCGAGCAACAAATAAATTTACTAGGTACTGTTATTTTCGTGTAGGTCGTCCTTCCGCTCTTCCGAACTACACAAGACAGATCGATTACAAATATAAAACCAAACAAGACGGAGCCATACATATTATCATTTATTTAGTTTGTGGACAATATATACCACTGAATGAAATAAAGCAAAAAAATGTTATATATATAATACAGGAGTGAGGTTTAGTCAGTTTGGTTTATACTGACCGAGCCCGTGACTTTATCTTAACGTTTAGAATGACAATAATAAACTATTTTTGTATCTTTGGTGTGGGTAAACTGATAGGAATAAAAGAAACACTAGGTTTTAAGCGAAGCTTACTACAAATTTCTTGTGAGTTGAGCACTCAAATCGGTTGTCGTTTCTGAGATTAGAGTGCACAAATGTACAGACAAAAAAGCACATTCCACTGTTTTGTCCAATTACAGTGATAAAATCCCTATTAAGTCAATATTTTTTTATATACGGAAAGTATATAAAAAATATTGACACCTTAATTATATACCTTTTTAGATGAGAAAGTATTATTAATAATTTGTACGCTTAGAGTCCATAATGTTTTTTATGCTACATGGCACTTAAACTCAAGTAACGTTTAATTTATCAAAAAAAAAAACATTTGTAGTCATAGCTATTACTTATTAAGCATTCATGGGTATTTGTTACCAAGTTCTATACACATAAAAATTTTTAAGATAAATATAGTCGGTAATTTAATAATAGAACTTATTAGAAATTCACATTTCTGACATTTCATGTTCCTGACTATTACTGTTATTAGGTACCAATAAACTATGTTATGGGTCTAAAGCGTGCGTGTATCATAAACAAATTTTGCACTTGTTTTCAGCACCGTTTTTAACCGATATTATATTGATTCTTTGCTATTCTGTTACACAGCAAATAGTGTCAGAAATAGTAATATAGTTGTAGAATTAATTATAATGTATAAATAACCCTGGACTGGACATAAACAACTTTATAATCCCAGCAGCCTCTAAATGTCATTTAGTAAAGCTAAAGGTTTTTTTGTAATTACTTATATAATAACAGAATCTAGAATATAGACGCATAAAAATAGACATATTACTAATTATGGAGTCGCAGTATTCAGTATAATATTCTATAATATAGATATACGAGAATACTACGAATACTAATATACCTACCTACTGACTCCTAGTATAGTGCAAACTAGTAATTTAGTAACAACTGCAACTGTTAATGGGACATTACTAAGTGTAAAATTGTGAACTTTAATCTAATCTAAATGTGAATTGTTAGTTATATAGTTACATAATCAAGGTAGATTTACTTCAATTAATGTAGAATGTATAGACATGCTACGTGCATGATTTGCTATATATGCAGTATGGGGTAAAATGTTAGGTAGGCTAATTAAAACAAAATATTTTATGTATTTTTTTTTATTCTTATACAATATAATACAGCATCTATTTATATGATGCCGATTTTGTTGGCAACATCTAATGCGTCATGGTCCCTCGCAAGCCGCACGTACGCCTTCTTCTTGCCGTCAGGCCTACAAGGAAATATATAAACTTCGTAAGTGAATGTTCACATTTATAACATAGAATAGGATACTTGGTTATATTCAGAGTTGTGTAAGTTTTATTTCATTCTCTATCAATGAGATTCCCACTGAAATATCATCATTTGTAAATATAGATTATTGTTCACTTGCAGATCATTACAGGAAACAATTATAAAAATACCTATTTCTGTATTCTATATACCATATCTCGGCTGTGCACGGGATACACATTATATACATGGCATATGACAGAAATCATATAACTGTACACATATATTATATACATACATAAAACTTCCAGGAGAAAATTAGATAGTCTTATCTGTTGCATAATTTAGAAACAGAAAGATGCAGACGTAAAAGCAGCTTTATACTTTTTATATTTACAAAATTTTTATTATTAGGACAGGAATAATTATTAGAAAGTATTTTACATACCTGATGAGGGTGTTCACTTTAGCCACATTAATGTCATACAGTTTCTTAACTGCAGCCTTAATATGATGCTTATTGGAAGTGGTGTGAACAATAAATACCAATGTATTATTGTCCTCTATCTTCTTCATTGCCGCTTCAGAGGTTAATGGATACTTTATGATATTATATGCATCCATACTGCAATATTAATATTATAAGTGTGAATAGTGCATACATTAATAGTAATTATGAATAAATTAAACATTTTCTTGGTAATTGATTCACAATTTCTGAATCAATTATTATTATTATTATAATAATATATAACAGAAACCTTATTTAAACAAAGGTATATACTTTTTCAGTTTAAAACAATATTCTTTGGCTTTCTACACATACACAATATGGGGCAGCTTTTGTAGTGTATTTAATATTTTTTGTTGCAAGATATTATTAAATAAACAATGCTTTGTAAAAAATTAAAACATTAGTATTGAAATAACATTGTTATTAAACTATCCTTGAAATTCCAGATTAAAATGAAAAAAAAAATTTTTGAAAAAGTGTGAAGCAGTATGTTTAATAGCAAATTAATGTGCAACTTATTCATTTTTAGAATATAGTGTTTTTACAATTGATTGCTAGTGCATCAAAACTTCAGTACAAACATTAATTAAGAACATAACATTTATTTGTAACAATTCATTGTTAACAATTAAACGGGACTAATATATTAAAAAGATAACATATATATTATTTTTATTATATCTTAAATGCCTGACCTTCTCAATAGAATACTCTAAAATATTTCAGCAAATAATAGGTCTATATTATTCCGGTAGGTATATTATTATACTGCCTTCCTACAAAACTTATAGAAAATGTAAACAAACATTTTGTCTCAAAAATTATTAATAGCAGATATCTATATGTCAAATAATGTTAATTGGTGCATAGATAATTATTTAAGATTTTATTCTAATATATTTAATTTCTATCAAACTTAGTTTATGATTTCTCAGCCATACATTTTTGCAGAGAACTGTTTTAATATAGTGCATCAAATTGAAGATTAGTTTAATCAATGGCAATAAGTTATATAATAATAGGTAAAAATAACAAGCAATAATAATATATTTACTGTTTTATAATTCAGACCCATACACCATTGCTATTTTCTTGATTTGTGCTACAATGCTTATTGTTCATTCCTCATCAATAAGTTAAATAAAATAAATAATAAATAAAGTCAATAAGTCAAAAATATATTCTTAATAAATAAGTAAAGATACTATTTATTCAATCAAATTTACCCTATCTGTCTATAGAATATGATTTGTCAGCCATCCTAGCATATTTCTGATGATGTATAATTAATTTAGTAAAAAAACCGAAAAATTCAATAGAGTATTAAAATTCAATATAATTATTGATTTTTTTATTCATACTGATTTTAGACATCACTAAGCCATCTCAGGCAGTGTTAATGACCCCTTTGGTCACCTTTTCAGTAAATTCTATTGAAACAGAGTATCATTATGATGGTATCCCCTTTTCTATCATTTTTTTCTAAATGGTAAGGAAACGGAGATGTACATGGATAAAATCAGAAAAGGTATAAATATAACTTACCGATTCCTTTTAGGTAGTGATTTCCTAGGATATTTAGGATTTCTAGGAGGTTCAAAAGTCTTGGGCCTTCGGAAATGAACTGAAGTTCTGATTTTACGAATGCGCTTGCCATGTTCTCCCTTAACTACCTGAAGAACAAAACACATATATTGTTGTTAATCTAGACAAAGTAATACTTATTTATACTTTGTAAGCATTTTAATAAATAGTTTACATGGTTTAAACAGGTATTGTATTGTATTATACAAAACACCAGGAATTAAAAATAACATTATCATCACAAATATCCCACTTATATAAAGTGTAGTAAAAATTTAAACATGGTAATTTCCAGTTTAACAATAAACAAAACTGGCTTGGGAAAGATGTTGTTTGGGCTATTATAATGTAGTTAGTAGACAATTTAAATAAGTCATTTAAAGATGTATACATTCTCAACTTTTGACAACCAATCAATATCATTATTTAAAAAACAAAACCATTTACAATCAAATCAATACTCTTTAAATTTTGTGGAATAAAAGTCCTGTATGATAGACCTACAAGAATGTCTATTATCATTTTTTATTGTAATATGTCTGACTGTAATTACTAATGCATACAAGAAATTTGTTAAAAATTAATTAAATTATATTTACCTTTCGTTGAGCTTTAAGAGCCTTAGCAACAGGTTTTACAGCCTGCTTCTTTTGTCCCTTAATGCCTGTCTTCTTAGGTTTAGGTGCAATTTTCAATTTTGTAGCCACAGGCTTGGGTTTGGGCTTTGTAGCTGATGCAGCTTTCTTAACTGAAGGCTTAGCACTTGATTTAACCTTAAGGGCAGCAGCCTTGGCAGAACCAGGTTTTGCTGTTGGAGCAGCTGTAGGTTTTTTTTCAGCAGGCTTGGCGGTTGCAGTTGGGGCTGGTTTAGAAGGTGCAGGCTTTGCTGCAGGTGCCGTTTTAGGCGCTGCAGCTTTAGGGGCTGGAGCAGGAGTCTTTGCTGATGCCGGTTTAGGTGCACTAGTAGAAGTAACTTTCGGAGCTGCGGCTGGCGTCTTAGCCGTAGCTGGCTTTTTCTCTGCGGGTTTAGACCCTGAGGCCGATCCTATAATTGAAATATGTAAATTCAATTAAGCACATATATATAGTACCTTATTGAAATTTCGTAGGTTGTCAATTTTCAAAACAAATAATTTATATTTTTACTTCAAAGGTGCTCTCGTAGCATACATAAATGTGTAGTAAATTTTACCAAAACTACATTTTATTCATCCAAAGTCAATTTAGGTATTTTTTAGAGAAGTAAAATATGGAATAGACATATAATAATTCTTTGTAACTATTTTTGTGTAGTTCTTCGCATAAATATTGAGTTATTGTTTTCGTAACTTGACATACAGCAGATTTGGTGGAACGCTGTTAACCTAAAAGTTTAGGTCAAAAAACTGTATGGAATAACAATAATTTTATAAAAAACGTAGCTAGAAAATGTATACACTTAACACAATTCACATATATTTCAGTGTAAATTTCACACACTGTAATGATAACAAAAATTGACGATTTAATTATGATTTATATGTATATGCAAGATACCGCGTGGCTTGCCGTGTCATTAAATAGCTGACAATAATTTAACCAAGTTTAATATTTACTATTTTTCTAGTTAAGAGCATAAATTATAATTAACAAATATGAGTAGAGTAGAATTCTAAGAAAATAATTAGTTAATATAAAAATATTAGTACCCGATTTCTCTGGTTGCTTCTTAGGAGGCATCGTGACAAAAAAAGATGGATGAAGTTTAATTTTTTTTTATTTTAGTTTCACGTTTCACGGCTTTGGATTCTCACTTACAGATTGTCATAGAGTCTGTATACTCGTACTGTGATACTACCATAGCGTAGAATAAAATGCAAATTCATTGATCTCAGGTGTAATAATGTCGGGTGAGCCCGGGCAATTAACGAGAGATTTATGATATCGCCAAGGGTACCTAACAAACTACAAAACAGATCGGTAGTTAGCATAGTCAGTACATAGAAGTACAGCAACCAAATGTGACGAACGATAGCAGCAACACTGCAAGAACATATTATATAAATTATTTTCGAATAAAGGTATGAATAGTGGTCGAATGAATAGTGAAATAATCTTGCTCATAATGGTCAAAGATGCTAGATGTATATATATATAGATCGTACCCTAGTAGAGATGTGTCAACTCGAGTTGCGTATAATTCGAATTAACTCGACTTGGAAGAATTCAACCGGTGCATGGACGAATCAAGTGAAAGAGCGGGAGCGTGATTCGGTCGTACCACCTAACAACGACATGAAATTTTCCGATCATTTCATATGATAAAATGTTCACTTGTCACAAACGTCTCATTATGTGTTTGAGGTTATGGTATCATTCTAATGACTGACATTTGAAAACAAACATTTACAAATCACCACAGTAGAGTAGACCTGTAAAATGTAAAAATGCTTATTCATGCAGATTCATTTCAAATATATAGGAAATACGACCTAGTTATTGAATGATATTAAAAAAATAGCACTCAAATGACAAGAGTTGACCTGCGGCAAAGAATGCGTTCGATAAGTCCTTCCGCGCACGGGTATGGAGTGCCATTTCCATGCGCCCCAGTTCAGTGTGGTTCAGTGAAGCTGTCTAGGCAATCTGAATTCCGTTAGGATATTGGTGTTCTGTGATTTGAATCCAACAACATTAGAATAGTACGAAATTAAAAAAAAAACTATTTCTTCCAGGTAACTCGAGTTACCTGAATTTCAACTCGAGTTATGTTTAATACGAGTTAGCACATCTTCACTCCCTAGAGCCTAGGCAAAGAGTAAAGTAAATATACCAAATGATATAGCCTAGGGTAACCAAAATATATTTTCCTCGTCTGTTTTTTTTACTTCTGATACAAATTTGATGTTACCAGTTCTGCAATTCTTTTTGCGAAAGACTGCGAGGGAAGTTACCTCCGAACTTCTCACGTTAACAGAGTAACTATAGTGGTGTTCAAGTAAATAACGTAGAATAAGATAAACAAAATATATTTCTAATCAAAATAAAATAATATAAAAACACATTTAATACAATATACAGATAAGTTAAAGATACATCAATACGACGACAGACAAGATGACAAAACACACTCTCTTTTCAAATATTCAAACACACCAGCCAGTCTAGACATCGATTGCAAACCTCGTTCTAACAAAGACACGTTATGATTAACTTGATCGAACTCCTCAACCAAGCCAAACCGTGGCTTTCACACACTCAAAATATAGTCACCTTAGATAAGAAGTTAACTTTTGTATAATAGATTGAGCAAGTTTATAACATAGATTTTATACTACTTATTGCGGCTCTACTCCTAACATTTCTAAACAAACGTAGTATAAATTTAAATCAATGTTATTGACTCGGCGCCTTCTGTAGCTACAAATGGCCTAATTACGCGATGGAAAAATCACGAAACTTTGAATGTATCTTTACAAGTATGTTCGAATGTTAGGCGCGAATCTACGAAGTTTTATGCACATTCATAAATTGCATAGAGAACGAACAATACCGCACTCGTATGTCATTAGCGCATACGGACACATTAAAAAAAAACCGTTGAAATGGGTATCGTGGTCTTATCTTTTTTAGTTGACCTTCAGTCGCCTCATGAGTTCTGTGACTTTGGAGAGCCTGCACTGGCCAGTTTCATCCACTAAAGCCAAATGCATTAAAATAAGGGTACGCGCCCTGTTATAACTGTCAATTTAGTCTACGCAATTTTGAAAACTGACTATAGCCTACATACTCAAAGGTGGGTGAAATTTAAAAAATTATGAGAATCCTAGGATATCCCCTTAATATAAACCGGTGTCCACGACTTCGTACGCCTATACATTATTAGCTCTAATCTATTGATGTCACCAAGAAACAAATAAAGCATCTAATCGCCATTTATGACTTAATTATTAAAATGGATATTAAAATAATTATAATTAATAGTTAATAAAAATTGTGTGTAGTTTATAATAAATTATAATAATAATAAATTTTATTTCAACTCCACAAATTGCATAATTCCAGTTTTATTATGTAAATGCCAATAATAAAAATCACAAATATAATTTGTGTGAAATAAAACTAAGCAATAGCCCCCCTTATGAATGCATAGTCTATATGTTGATCCATATTTAACAACATATTCTGTGAACATTTTATCAAAATTGCTGAATTTATTTTTACGAGAAAGACACACAAAATATATTTTCTATATATGGAAAGATTTTTATTGTACATTGTATTCAAATTGCACTTAATAACAAATACTGGACAGTAAAAGTAACATAAATTAATATGTATAATTATAATTAGTTCTTATTAAATTAATACATATAAATATATAATTAACCATTCCACATTATCAGATATTAGATATGTACCTTATAGTCAAATAAAAATTAAACTATACAGAAGCTTCTACTTTATTTGTTAATGTTTTTATTTTAGCCTTCAGTAGAGGTGCATCGATACGCGATTCTGTTTATACAGTATAGAAATTAAGAAAAATATTAGCAATAATGGTAGCGATATTAAAATACAATATAAATTCTATCAAACATACTATTGCATAGTATAAAGATTAGATCTTTTTAAACAACTCAGGTTCAGAAATCAATAATTAGTAGCAAATATCTACCACATTTGACTAAAGGTATTATAGTATCGGATGCTATCCTAGAATGAACTTGTCTATCTGCTTGTCAATTTTATATTTGATTGGTACTGCTTAAGAAATCGTATTACGCAATAGCTTAAGAAAAATTGTATTCACTCGGAGTCTGACTAGAACTTGTGGTACGATGAAATGAGCCAACATTGAAAACAGGAGTATTGTAATTCAAGTTAACTGATCCATGATTAGCTAAACCTGTATTGCTTGCAGTTGTAATCGGTCTTTTTCCAATAATCAAAGGAAAACATTCTTCTGGAATGGAAGATAATGCCATTTGTATTCGTTTAATACGATTGGAACATTCCTCATAGTGTTCCATCAAATATTTCAATTCTGGAATAGCATTGGGATTATTATATGTTTTCAAGTTTTTATCAATAATTTTTATTCCATCTACAGGTGTGTAGGTTATTTTCTCACCACTATAAAAAAACATATCCATATCAGTGCTATTTTCCATGAGTTGGCATTTAGCTAGTGATGAATACAGTGTTATTTTGGGTGTCTTAGCTTTAACAAGATCAACAAAACGAGAAGCATATAAGTATTTTTTCCAATGTTTTTGTGGTAAATTGTGATATGAAAATACTTCATCAGGAGCTGGCTCATAATCCACATTAAGATTATTGGCTTTACAATTATCAACAGTATAAATAATTATCTTCATGCCATCTTTGGATATTTTGCATATTTCTACTACCTTTTCTTCCCTGTCTTTACCTTTCTTTTTGATAAACTCTACTATAACACCAGAAGCTTCTATTTTTAATACAGCATTTCTGGTTCTATGTGAAATGTTTGGTAATCTTTCTGCACAAAGTGGTGGAACACTCAATGTATTAGTATTTAAATTTGATGATTTAGGAGTATTTTCTTTGTTTTCTCCAACTGCATTTATAGTTTCAATATTTTCAGATTTATGAGTTTTAATTTGCAATTGCTTTATATTTTCAAGCAATGCATTACTACTGCTACATGCACTATCATACTTATGCAATTGTAAATTTTTACATTGAATTGAATTTCTGTCAAGCATATCACCAGGCCCATAATCATTACCATGCGATGAATGGCCATTACTTTCCTGTAAACCTGTGAATACATTAAAAGATGCTGGTCTCACATCCTTCTTAATAAAAATACCCATGTTTTGCTCCCTGCAGACCACACCATAATCAGATACAGTTCTGTCGTCATTTCTTACTTTGCCACTATGTTGAGTACTATGCAATGTAGTCAGAAATCCTGAATCTCTTGACAAATCATGTCTGGTGGCATTAGAGACATTAATATTATTGTTTAAAAAAGGATGTTCTATTATTTCCTTTAGAGTAATTCGCATGGTAGGGTCCTTGCATAAAAGTTTTTGTAGTAAATCTTGAGCATGAAGAGATAATTCTGAGGGTATATTGTAATCAGCATTAATAACTTTATTAAGTGTAGTTTTAATATGTTGAGTATGGAATGGTGGCCTGCCAACTAAAAGTGTATACAACATACAGCCTAATCCCCATACATCAGCTGGTAAACCATGCATTTCACGAGAGGCTACCTCAGGTGATATATAGTTTGGAGTACCACACATTGTGACATGTTTCTCATCAGGTCCATTTAATTGTGTTGCTAATCCAAAGTCAGCTATCTTTACACTAAGATCTTTTGTTAATAGCAAATTGTTCAATGAAAGATCCCTATGAATAATATTGTAAGAATGAAGATACAATACTCCATTGACAACTTGTTTAAAAATATCACCAGCAGCCTTCTCAGACAGACCATGTGTTCCTAATTTAAAATGTTTAGCTAACTCTCCATTATGTGCCAATTCTAAAACTAAATATACATAGTGGGCATCTTCAAAAAAGGAATACAATTCTAATATAGTCTGATGCTTAAGACGAGAGTGAATTGTGACCTCTTGGCGTACACGTCCTATCATCCCAGCACTGGCCATAAGAGCTTTGTCTATCATTTTGATAGCAACAAACAATCCTGATTTGCGACATCTTGCACGATAAACATGTGCAAATCCACCTTTACCTAGATGTTCTAGTATTTCATAATCTTCAATCCGCTCTCCAAAGATGCTCATTTTTTAAATTACAATATTTGCTTGTCATATATAAATCTAAATGTTCCTTTATCTGCTGCTTTTATACTAATTATACTCAATAAATCCATTATTTTTGTATGTACTGAAACAAACACCAATCATGTTATTATATGAAATGTTTAATTAAATTTTTTTTAATGAGAAACCAATTGAACAACGAAAAAAAAATTCTTGTACATACAAGTGCAAGCAGTTATCTGCAAATTTATACTATACTAAAACTGTGGAGGCACTTTGTCTATACCAAGAACATTCTTCAAAATATATTGTTACTGCAAGCGGGAACACAACTACTTATTTGAATAAAAATCAAATACTAGTAAAAATGTGTATTCTTTCCAAAAGGGCTCACAGCGAAGGAAAGTAACAAAACAATTTGTTAGTCAAAAGTGACATATAAAAAATAGATATCAAATATATAAAACTTATAAAAAGAATGGTAGACAAGCTGCCAGCAACATATATATTGTTGGAATAACATCCCCATGTAAGTCTATTTCACAAATATATTATCTAAGGACCACAGCAACTTTTTAGGTATATTATCATGCTTTTATTGTCAAGATCCCATTAGGAGCCCATTAAAAATTACATATTGTCAAACATGTAAAAACCAGTAAATGGATATAATTATGATGATTATCTCATGATATTTTTTCTATCTAGGCATTTTTTACAGGAGTCATTATTAAATAGCCACTCTGAGTCTATTAATAATAGATTGATTTTTATCTTGACATGATGTATTATAATGTAATGTCGTTATATTAGATTATGAGGAGGGGGATATACTGAGCCAGCCAACTACAATTTATTACTGTTTTATATACATATAGTATACAATAATTAACTACATTAACTACAATAAAGTGAAATCAACTGAAAGTCAATTTCTAATACTTCTTTAACCTGTTAACCGGGGAATTCCTTTTTTAATTATGCAGCATATAATGGGCACTGTCTCTCACTAGGATGTATCAGCATAATATAATTTAATGTATATATTTTTGATATGAAATATTCCACCCACTCCAGGTTCCAGGGTGCAGCAGAAATTAAAAAAATGTAGATATACATATTTCCTACACATACACAAAAGTTTGACGTATTCATATGTCCTGCTCGGTTAACAGGTTTATAAATGCAGTTCATTTTTATGTCATCAGTTTTATGCTGTTACTATGTTGGAGCAATGAGCGAATTTTTTTAAATATAAGTTACCTTTTTCACAATCCAATTTGCATCCTGCACACTTTTTGCAATAATTTCTTTTACTCTCTCTGAATCTGGTTCCAATTTATGTTGTTTATAACTCTGTAAAAGAAAATAATCGACCGGAAATTGTAGAATGCAGCTAGACAATTAGGCACAATAACAATGGCATATTATCATATACAGCTAAAATAACTCCACTTAAAACTAATTGAAATGTACTCATGTATCCAAAACTGTAATAAAAAATAATGTGTAATAGTTTTCAAACTTGGTAAAAGTAACAAAAAGAATACATAGCACATATGGAAGGTATGTTAAATGGAAAATATCAAGAAAGCATTATTTCTATATATAAATTGTTATTATAATTATAAGAATTTTAATCCAACAAAGCGATTTTATAAGCAATATCATTATGTAAGTTTGGTAGTTTTAGCCACATATAAGAGTTAATTGTTTGTTTGCATTAAATAGGCTAAACTACTAGGCTGATTTAAAAATATGTATCATGTATTCTATATTATACCTAATGAATATAGTTAATAGAATATTTTCAAAAACATTCAGTATGAAATATGGGATCACTATGATAACTTTAATAGTACAACCCAATTTGTGAAAAATTCCAAAAATAGCTATAACGAGTACACTGAGTAAATTATTGACTATGATGCACTTTTATAGTTTTATACACAGTTTTATAGAGAACATAACTGTGAAAAGGTGTATGTATGTGCATTGATGTTTTTTGTTAAACACTCGTGCGAAACCAAAGCGGTAGTGTAATATACAGTAAAATTTGTTCCAATGTTATAATAGGAAATTAAAAAAAAAGACTAATTTACCTGCTTTACCGCGAACTTATAATGTTTACATGCATCAGGAGGCAATTTCTCACATTGGCGTAATAAAAATTTGTATAGTTGTAAAGATGTCATATCAACATTATGAATACTAGAGAACAATCTTCCATACCATGTGAACATTTATTAATAAGGAATTTTCTGTGATTGTTCAAAATAATTGTGTTATGAAACAAGCTCAAATAACAAACTACTTTCTGTAAATTGACGTTTTGTACCATAGACATTTTTTTTTTTTCCATATTCGTCCATCTCCTTTTCAGTGATGGAACAGGCAAAGATCCTTAGACCGTACAGCCTAGTCTACTTTTAAACTTCTTCATATTTGAACAAGTGATGAGGCCAAAGGCCAATTCTTATGTATATTTATTTATTATGTTTTCATTCGTGTTCAAATTTTAAGTCTTATCCGTAGTCCATATCCTTGTATCAATTATTTAAAGTTTTATCGATATCGAGGTAACGTATAAATATATAGGTATATATGTTTCAAAATTAGTTAGCATGTCTTTGATGTCGCGCGGGATATTTTCCGGTTTCTTGTAAATGTTCAGTAAATTATCAATAAAGACTAAGCGTTGAATATTATAAGCGGAACATTCGAAAAATATGTGATTTAGGGTCTGACTGCTGTTATTGCACTCTTGACATGCATTTGAATCAATTATTTTCATTCGGCACAAATGACTATTGAATCTAGCGTGACTATTTTAAATGCACTTTGTATTTAAAATAGCCAAAGATTCTGCTGAAAAAATACTAAATTCTTTATGTATTCTAGTTCCATGATCGGTTCTGATACTTGGTAAGTATAGAGCAAAGGATGTTACCGATTCGTTTTTAGAACCGTCTGTAAATATGTATTCATGAGTTGAAAATGTAGATAACTTGTTATAAACTTCTTGTTTTGTCCTTAACTCCAGAGTCAATTACAATATTAATATTTGGAAATTTACTTTCAAATGGCCCATGGTAACAATTCCAAAATCTATTGCTTTTGTGAATTTTGTATTGCTGATCAATATTGATTGAGTCAGAGAAATCATGAAGTATGTAGGGAACTGTTTTAGAATTAGAAAGGGGAAATAAAGAAGTAATATGTTTGAGCTTTTGTAAGAGTGGGTCTTTAGATAAGAATAATAATTTTTGGATGAATCTTTGTTTTAAGTACTAGAATCTCAGGTTTAATGGTGGTATACAGCACTCTATTTGTAAGGAATTTATAGGGGTTGTTTTCATTGCACCAGTTATGTATCTTAAATTAGTATTCTGAAGTACTTCAAGTTTATGAAGCTTGTTTTGGTCAGAACCAAAACATAGATAGCCATATTCAAAGTGGCTGCAAATCAAGGATTTGTACAGCATTAAAAGGATCTTAGGATCACATTTATATAGAGCTTTGATAATATTAAATACTTTGGAAGCTTTACCTAGTAAATAATCAACATATTTGTTCCAAGACAAATTGCTACAAAAAATAACACCTAAAAATCTAACTTCAGCAGTAATAGGTAGTTGTGAATTATTATATAATATTTTAATGTTTTTGTAGGATTTATTAGTTTTAGAAAATATTACTACTTTAGATTTGTCAGGGCTTACATCTAAATTGAGGTATTTAAAGTAATCTGTTAATCTTAACAATGAGTTATTACTTCTGTAACTTTATTAATGTCTGGGCCTGAAAAGTATATAACAAGGTCATCTGCAAATTGAAGATTCCTAACATGTGATCCTAAAATTAAATTAAGTTTGTGTATGTAGAGGGTAAAGAGTAGTGGACTAAGTATTCCACCTTGACACACACCTTTATAAGAAAGACGAGGTCCTATTAACTACTTGATAACTTTAACAAAAACTTCTCTACCATTTAAAAAGTTATAGACCCAGTTTATAATTTTTCCAGGTATACCAATAGAAACAAGTTCCAGAGTGAGAATGTGATGATTGACATTATTGAATGCACCAATAATATCAAAGAATACCCCAATCAAAACTTCATTGCATTTAAGTGCTTTAAATATATCAATATGAAGATGAGTAACACTCTCAGAGGCAGATTTACCTCTACGAAAACCAAACTGGTTTGCTGGTAATAAACAATTATTCTCTATGTAGAATTCTAGTCTTTGTTTTAATAATTGCTCAAATTTTTCCCATGCAGGATGTCAGGGTTATAGGTCTATAGGAATCTGTTTCATTTGCAATTTTGTTTGGTTTTAAAATTGGAATAATACAATCTTTTTTCCAATTGGAAGGAATAAGTGAATCTTTCCACAGTGCATTATAAATACATAGAACAATATTTTTAGAGGTATAAGAGAGGTTTTTTAATAATTTATATGGTATGCCATCGAGACCAAATGCTGTATATCTTCGGGTAGATATGGCTGCATTAAATTCATAAAAAGTGAAGGGTTTATTTAAATAATTTAATTTGTTACTATTTTCATTAATGTGTGATTGAAATTGGGTCTCGACAGTGTCAGAAGTATATTTTTTAAGAAAATCAGATATCCAATTATTATTTGAAATCTGACTATATACATAAGTTTTATTGAATTTTTTAACAGTATTCCAAATTTTGGAAATGGGTGATGGTGTGACTAAAATTTTCACAAAATTTATCCCAACTAATTGATTGTTCTTTTTTAAGTATTAACTTTTTTTTGGCTTATAACCTTTTAAATGTAATATAATTTGTCTCTGATGGGTTGTTTTTAAAATTAACATATGCCTGTTTAGAGTTATCAACTGCAAGTGTACATTTTTCATTCCACCAAGGTAATGGAATCCTTTTATTTTTAAAAGGAATATCAGTTGTAGAGCTTATGGGTTTTGATTCTGATATAAAACATTTGTCTATAGCTAAATTAAAAATATCAATTAATTTAGTATAACACTGCAGGGGTGAATTACTATAAGTGTAAAGTGCAAAATCTTGTAACAAACTATCTGTGGTCTTCTTATACATGGTCCAATCTATAAGATTATAATTATGAAATTTGCGATAATCTAAGGATTTTGGTAATCTAGTGCAATTGTTATTAATTACTATTTTTGTTATTACAGGTAAATGGTAGCTACCTATGGGATCATTATGTACTATCCAATTTGAAGCAAGAGATAAGCAAGGGGATGCAATAGTAAGGTCAACTGCATTACTCTGCCATCTGTGTGATCCTACTGTAGTCGGTGTACCATCATTTAAGATGGCCAAGTTGTTACCATCAATACATTCAAGAAAGTCACAACCACGAGCATTAATAGACGAGCAACCCCATGCTGTGTGATGAGCATTAAAATCACCAGCAACCAACATGGGTTCTGGAATACTATTAAGAAGATTACTGAATTTATTTTTGTTAAAACGTGGACTACAATTATTTGGGCTATAAAAACTAACAACTGACATTTCTGTGTTTTTATATTTTAATCGTACCGCAATATTCTGTAAGGAATCATCACTATATGTATCAATTTTACTGAATTCTATACTTTTATGAACTAAAATTGCAACGCCGTTATGGTCATTGCCTGAGTCCTAATCTAACAATGTTAAAGCCTTTAATATTTAATTTATAGTAGGCTTTTAGCCAGGTTTCTGATATCAGAGTAATATGAATATTGTTCTCCGATGGAAAATGTGTTCCGGACCACCGCCTAAACATTATAAATAGTTTATAGTTTGTATAGAAATAAGTTCGATTAGATATAGCAAATTGGTAAATAGAACATTGTTACATAGTAACAGATTAAGCATGGTCGCTTTAATAGGGACAAATTTGTAGATTAAGGCAAATACTACTGTTTAATGCACAAATTACATATAATCGTAATCTGTAAAATTGATAAACTATAATAAAAATTGCACAAAGGGGTGAGGAAAATAGGTAGCCAAAGGTCCGCTGGCCAGCAGCTTAATAATCGTATATAAGTAGCGTCCAATAGAGCTACAATTGTAGTGCAATTGTCCTCTGCGTAGTGTAATCGACCTCTGCCTAGAGCAAGCACCTCCGGAATAGAAGAAATTCTCGCCCCTGCATCCTGAAAATCAAGAATCATCGTTTCATTCACAACCACAATCGCCGTCTTCACGCATCGTGTCATCTCCGTGTCACCATCGCATCGTCATCACCGAACGTCCTTCTTAGGACGACTCATCGTGGTGCCTGTTATAAGGCACCTGGTCCTTCACCCCGCAACGCGCCCGCGGCTATGATTGAGGCCCTTCAGGTAGGGAGTGCTTTGAAAAGGGCACTCTCTCACCTCGAGGAGGATAGATTAACGTCCGGGCGTACCAGCGACTCGGTGCCTGCCGACGCGCCTTCCGACTCCCGGGGGCAGCGGCCAGCACAAAATGTGTAAAGATTTGTTGATTACTTATTAAACTTTGTGCATTCCTCTGGACTATTACTATATGGTCCATAAAGAAAGAAAGATTATCTGGGTTTTTTTTATTCTGGAGTCTCTAGGAGAATTTGTTTTATATTTTCTGTACATATTGTTTTGTCATTGGTTCTATTCAATGTTATAATTTTAACAATTGATTCTAATAGGGTATTTAAAATTTGGTCAGAATTAAGTAGGGATATAAATTGTGCCGAAGGTGAAGTTTTGGTACTGCCTAATTGAGGAAATGATTTCTCTCTAACAATATCAGCATAACTTTGTACTTTATTTTTATTCTCCTCTATTTTCTTTTTCTTAATTTATACATTTATTACAGTGACAACATTTGGCTTCGTTAATATTTGCCGAACAGTCTCTGAAATTATGATTATTTCCGCATACTGAGCATCTTTCAGCGTTCTTACAAAACTTAGCGATGTGACCATACCTTAAACATTTAAGACACTGCTTTACAGGAGGTATGTAAGGCCTCACTACAAAGCGCCAGCTATTCAGGTCGACGGTGTCAGGAAGTACAGGACAGGAAAATGTGATGGAGACGGTTTTAGTTGGCTGCATTGTAAAGGTGTTATCATCACCTTTAATACGCCTCATGAATCTGCGTACACAAACAATATTTTTTGAGCTGGTTATATTAGAGTATATTTGTTCGTTCGATAGATGCGTAGGAACATGCTGAACTACTCCAGTTACTTCCGTGGCTGAAGCTGGTATACTTGCCTTTAATTTAAATCCGTCTAGAAATTTTTTATTAACTAAGGCTGCATTAGCTAAACCGGGGCGTTCAAAAATGACGCCGATCTTAAATTTATTCATCCTTAATAATTGCTTAACTCCTTTATTATATTTTTTCAAATTAGTAGCTAAGGACATCATATCCCTATCACCGATTGGCTTATTACTATCTGTACTCTCCATAAATACAATGTATTCAAAGTTTCCACCATCCTCAGGATAGTACCGAACATAATCTGGTATTTGAAATGCCTTATACTTATCCACATCCTCAGGTGCCGATTCCGAGTCAGACCCTAGAAAATTAATATCATCGGATGTATCATCCGATATTTCCTCTTTCTTTTTTCGCTTCTTCCCGCTCCTCTTCGTCATCTTTACTAGTTTTGACTAAAAAAACTCAATAAAATATTATTTTCCAAAACTAGCGCGAAAAAATACGTGTAGTCGCTTTGAAAGTTCCCGCGCTTTTTTCTGTACCACAGACATTTTTTTTTCCTTATTCGTCCATCATAGACATAGACGAATTCCACAGCTATAGATAAAATAATGTTTTGTTCACAGATTATATAGAGATATAAGAATGCGTTTCCAGTAAAACAAGAAAAGTTGAAAATATTTTAAACACTGAATTTACTGAATTAATTAGAAGACAGTAATTGAAATATGCACTGTGAAAATTCAGTAGTTTTTTTTAAGGGCTAGGCACGTAGGCTGTTTTTTGGATCCGTCACAGAGTACTATATTAGAAAGCACTTCCGATGTCATCATGTCATTCATATAATCATACTCTGTGCATTGCAAATCAAATCCATTTTAGTAAAACTTTATTATACTATCTCTATGTCTTTGAATAGAAAATCCTTTATCGATATAGGTTTTATTCCTGAGTTGTGTTCCTTGTATTTTAGATTTTGTGGTTCAGTGAACTTAGTCATCTGTTTATGATCATACTGGAAACATGCTAGTATTACTACAATGTCCTTGTTGTAAATAATTAGTGATATTTGAAGCATCAACATTCCGTGATTTCTGCTACAGACTATGATAACTCGTTAGTTCCCTTATTTATTACGATTAATGAATACTTTCGTAATGATTGGTTAATGTTAAATGTGGTATGGCACTTGTTACAATTCGACGTTCCCCGAGCGTGCAAACACCAAGGAAATCGGTAAGTAACATGACTTTGAAAATAAGGTGGATGTTAAGTTCTATACATAGTATTCACTTTTTATTATATTTTTCTTGTAATTAATACAAGTTTTATATTTTCAACTATTTACATACATGTTTGGTTAATTCTATATATCCTAATATTCTGTATTATAATATGACTTCACTGCCTTTTGACTGTTAACAGTATACTGCATTTGTAAATTAGATAGAGTTATCAGAATATCACTGATACTTTACCATCATTATTTGCTGGCCTCTGTCCTATTACTTGGAATAGGTGTAATATTTAATTCTATCTTTACTCTTGAAAAGTGTCAAATTAAATTATATATATTTTTGTTTCAATCAGTTCATAATATAATAGTATTCATTTTTTAATTTTCTTGTAAATACATTTTAATAATTATACATAGAAAACACCTAGGCCTAAGCAATATATATATAAATATTTGTATTATCTGGGGATTGAACTAGTAATCATTCTATTAGAGTCCAACTACTAGAACAGGTCTATTAGTCCATCAAAGTATAGACCAGTCTGTTTTTTATCCAGGAGACAAATTTGACATTACCTATGTTGCCTGCTTTTAGCGATTCCTTAATACTGTTGTGGCACTATCTGTAATTCATATTTATTACTGATTATTAAAGGGTACTCAGAAATAATGTGTAGGTGTTTACTTAAACTGTATTAACATAAAATTGATACTTTATCAATTTTATATTATGGGTATTATGGTAATAAAACAATCATTAATTAAAAACTATTATTATTAATTATTGTATCAAAATAGATTTCTTTTGAATTGATATACTTAAGTAAATAAAGATTAACTGCTTCATTTATAAAATTAATTATTGACTTTTATAATTTATTATTAATTAAAATATATTATTGAATTTTAAAACTTGTCTTAAAATAAATCCCATATTTTGACATTCAAATATCAGCATCCGCAGGTATAACATTATTATATTATTTTTTTATATTTAACATTTACACCTGTCTATTTAGTAGTTGAGGTTAAAAAACAGACCACAGATAGTTTTATGTTTATCAGCATATAAACTGATAAAAGTAAATTAAATTTATTATATGAAATTAAGTTAATTTTATTTGTACTTATATTTTTTTTCATGTAATTTGGTTTCATCATAGTATGTTTTTCTCTTCAATTGATATTTGCTCACTGTTATCTTAGTAATGACTCCCCTTATTGCCAATGCATCTTTTGCCTGGTCCATATCAATAAGGTATGTCTTTTATAAATGGTGAATGCTATGAATTGAAATACTATGGGACTATGACTATACTATGGGAGGAATTATGGAAAATACTTCATACAAAACTAGCTCCTGTCCCAGCTTTGCATGGGTGTACATGTACTATACATATAAACCTTCCTCTTGTATCACTCCTTTATCTATTGCATTAAAATCAGCTGCATGGTTTAAAAGATCTAAGGAAACAGACAGTGGTATTGACTTCATTTTATACTATGTAAAAATTTTATGATGCAAGAGAGGTCATGTATCTGTTCATTTAAGTAAAATTGGAGTGTCTGTTTGTAATATTGAAATAACCATTTTTTACTACGTGCATATGAATATAAATATGGTACATACACCAGAATAACATTTTTTACAATTTTTGATCGATTTTGATGGGACTTTTATTAGTAAGTAGCTGATGTATCTTAGGCTAATTTTACTTTTAAAAAAATAAAGTTAAATTTCATGTGAATGATGTTGTGGGACTGACCGCTAATGGAAACTATAAATAGATTCCACTATTTATGTAAATAGATACTAATATTTATTGTTGCTAAATTCCCATTCCCATTTTGATTTCTTCTCTTTGCAGCTTCACTCCAATTAATTTCAATTATTTATAATCTATTATGTAAATAGATTATAAATAATTGAAACTGAACAGAAATTGAACAGTATTTCTATATATGAGAGATGTCTCAGGATACTAAGGATTAAAATTTTTTTAGGTAAAGAATATCATTTAAATGTCTACACAAATTAACTGAATGGTACTAGAAATTAAAATTAATTTTATATTAATAATTTCGTCAAGGGGTACGGTAGACTCAAACGAAACCTTATGTGAATAATAAAACATAAAAAAATATTGATTTCGAGTCGGCAACATATATCCGCAAAATTCGGATTATGGAGTATTTCGTTAAATTCTAATGATACTAACAAACAAACTGCAGTCGCCATCTTTTCATGTCACTAACTAACAACCAATAATTTTTTTTTCCCATATTCGTCCATCTCCTTTTCAGTGATGGAACAGGCAATAACAACACTACGCGTGCGTTCGCGCCAAAGATCCATCACAAATAACTGTGACATTTGACATGTGTCGGTGACGTTTCGCGAAAATATAGTTTTTAACACTTTTATTACAAAAGAGTATACAGATGTGTTTTTTCTTTAAATCGGCCAATTGCGAGACAAATTTGACATTATTTTTACTATTAATATTTTTCACGGCTCTGGATACAAGTCCTTTTTAGCCCAACTTAAAGTTTTACCTAAAACCTTATAAACCTTAAAAGTTATATGTTTTGTTAATTTATTTTGAATGTTGATTTAAAATAAAAATTATTTGTGTAAATACATTTGCACTTATTATTTACTATAGTATTTAGTAAATACAATAAACGAAGCTTTACGAATCTATGCCTTGCTTACCTTTAATATTCTTTGAGAACCGATGACTACAGAAATATCTACCCGAGCGAAGCCGGGTGTTCACCTAGTATATCTTAGTATATCTTCATCACAGTTAATTTGCATAGACATTCAAATGATATTCTTTACCTAAAAAAATTTTAATACTTAGTATCTTGAGACGTCTCTCATATATAGAAATACTGTCATGTATTTATAATCTTAAGGATTTAGATTATTTACTACATGTAAAACACATGTAAAAACCATAATTACCAAACCATATTAATTAAAAGAATAACACCTATGTGATTGATAAAGCTTGTATCTATTTATAAAAAAAGTAATAAAATGATTTTTACTTTCTGCCTATGTTAATTGTTTATTTATTTAAATGCTAAAGTTGTCGCTAACAACATACCCAGGACCATTTGTAAATCGACATTTATTTATGAATAGTTGTACAATATTAATAAAGAAAGTATATGTACAATGCTATATATTATTAACAAAGTAATTGATAAAATTCTAGGTGCCCTATTAAATAGTCACAACATATATTATTGTATTAACAACATATTCTGGAGAAATATCCTTAATATACTACAAATCAACAAACTAATAAACAGCCAAATTTTGCCTCATTACAAGTTTACAATTTTTTTATGTAAAGACATATAGAAAAGAGATAAAGGTAAATGTGTAAAGAAGATGAGGTTATTTATTTAGATACAAATTACTAAATATTGATAGAATGTGTGTAATACGAGTTTATATGATTTCTCAAAAATCCTAATAACATTATCAGCTATGTATGTAACAACACCATGTTAATGATTAGTAAAATCTGAAACAAATTGTATACATAACTATTCAAAACTTTTGTTACAGGATGAGACAGAAAAATCAACAGAAAATCTTGAAGAGGATGTTGGTAACCGTGTCAGCAAGAGGTAGGATATAATGCCTTTTGCTATTGTAATAATTAACAGTTAACACGGTTTACGAAATACTGTGCTTTATTAGAGATGCTGTACTCATATTTTACCGTTTAAAATTAACAGATGCTTAGTGTCTAAAGGTATTATTACTTTGTATTCAAAATCGTCGTAAATGCTGTGATCAAAATGTAGTTTTGGTTATATGTGTACCTACTGTAACTTAAAATCTGTGTCCCTACAAGAGTTCGGTCTAATAACAGTCTCAAGGTTGTCATGTTGATGTAATTTATAGGTTTCTCCATTCTCTGTAATACGGAAGAAAAGGTTTCATAAAAACGTCCTTCAATAAAAAAACAAATCAGTTTTTATATGATCAGAATGCAGATTAATTAACTGACGATATATTATATATTTCATTCATTTTAGAGGACTTCCCAATTTCTCCGTGAAACCGAAACATATTGTTTGACTAGAATAAAAAGTCTTTGTTTTTTATTGTATTTCTTTAATCTAAATATGATGTAGAAATTTTTCATTGTATTAATGAACAACAAAAAAGAGTCCGAGGTTTTGTTACAACAAATATAAAACGTGTATGGAGAGGTGTAGTGGACATGCAGCCTTAATGACTCCTTCAACAAACATCATGAAATTTGAAATAAAATGTATTTCAAAACGTGCTACTATGAAAATTTTCTACAATAACTAAATAACCGCGAGAATTTTTGTCCATTAGATAAGGCATAGGATATATTAATGAATTTTCAGACTAACAAAAAATATACCCTTATGTTTACTATAATAATAGAGTAACCGAGTAGAGCGGAACATAAATATTTACAGCGGAATTTCGGTTGAAAGTATCACTCTTGGGTGAGGGGACTCGCAAGGTCTCTGAATGGCGATAGAACGAATATCCATCGTAATCGTATCTTTACATTTTTAGCGTGGACGCACTTCTCTTAAGGCGGCAAGAGATAAGAAACGATCCCTCTTTTCCTATAATAATGTTACTAAGGAACTATGTATTTTATTTTCGTAAGTTAGAACAATTTACATTGAACATGCCTTAACCCTCTATTGATCATGATAGTCGTTTGCGTTTCACTTAAATGTTATCCTTAAAGGTTAATGGTAGATGGAATCCTTTCGATTCATAGAATATAATTCAAACAGAGTCAGAGGTTTTGTTAGACCTTTTGGTTATTTTATAAATATCAGGGACAAATCCTCACGATCTGAATGTCTATTGCAAAGTGTGACCTTATTATAATAAATTCATACAACGAATGTTGCGCTTTGTAATTCGTGTTGTACACGTTAATTAAGTAGTACGGTATCCTCGTAGATAGCTCATATTGTTATTTATGAGATTATGATAACTATTATTGTTTTATTTATATACGCCAACGTATAGTAATAACGGCGTGTATAGAGCTAAGCGTGTTCCCGACTGCCTCGTGTTCCTGTTCTGCATCGTGTTTCTATATTTAAGCGGCAGTGTGTGCTCGGTTAGGAGGGAAGTCATGACGTCGCTCATCTGGTGGGCTCTACGAGCGAGTATGTACGCGATATGTGCGCGATGCACGCACCTTATTGTTGATCGGGACACGTCGCCGGACGCGGTCGGTGTGGTGCACCAAATGCACCATCCATTCTCGGTTGACATACGCAGTACGTACCAACACTTGACGTTACCGCATCCGACGAGAAAATTGCGACCACAGAGCCGCAATGTTTTTGTGCCCGTGCTGTGTATAGTGATACGCCAATAGTGCGCTGTTTACTTATAGTTTGGATTACCATTCTATGTTTCCGACATGGTCGCCTTCAGGTATACAATATGTTCTTTCATTAATATGAAAAAAACTTTGGTATTTGTTATGATGACATTAGTGGAAAATCAAAATATCTTTACATATTTCTAATAAATTATTTAATTAATTATGATAAGAACACGTACAGAAATGTATGCATTTTTTTTATTTAAAATAACAATTATGTGATGATGATGATATATTTTCTATCTGTGGCTGTCTTTTGTGTTTGAATTCTTTGTATTTTTGGAACACTTAATCTACTCTAATATTACATAGAGGCAAAGTTCTGTGAGTTTAGATATTAGGAGGATATCTCCTATAAAAACTTTTAGTGTTGGATAGCCAATTTATCGAGGAAAGCATTAGGCTTTAAAACATCACGCTGCGACCAATAACAGATGAGCTGCAGTGAATAAAGTTGCTAACACGGAGAAAATATGATGTACTATAGATGTAGCTGAGCGGTTCAGTTAGTAATAAAAAAAATATAACAGTATTTACACTTTTGTGTACATGTACAAATATATATAGCATATATTTAAATTTACACAATACAATTTGACAAGTTTAGTTAATCAATAAATAATAGCTATGTTTCTTTAGGACGTATAGTGGGATACTATTGAGAAAATAACCACTACGATTCATAAGGAAATGGCTCATTACGAACAAAAAGTAGGTACTTTAATAATTATCGATTTGCCCAATATCATATAATCCTATTTATTTATTACTAGCTGTTACCGCGACTTCGTCCGCGTGGAATTTAAAATTTCTAAAATAAAAGTAGCCTAAGTTACTCCTTATTACATCAGCTACCTGCCAAAAAATTACCGTCAAAATCGGTCCAGCCATTTCAGAGATTAGCCGGAATAAACAGACAGAAATACAAATATTGTAAAAAATGTTATTTTGGAATATGTACCGTATTTATATTCATATGCATGCAGTAAAAATGGTTATTTCAATATTACAAATAGACACTCCAATTTTATTTATATGTATAGATATGTTATTTATTATATATATCTAAATATCTTCATATTGTTAGACAAATAGGCTGTTTGTAATAGATAAATGCAATTTGCTATAGGTATGACCTATGATATCAAATCTGATGACTGAATTTTGTACCGATTTCTTTGATCAATTTGCTTTCCTGTGTACACCAAATTAATGCCGCTTGTAAGTGTTCGTCTTTCAACTTACGATCTGTTCTAATTTTGATTTTTTGGGGTTTACAATATACAAAGTATATATTATATGTCATAATGGTATACATATGTAGCAAACAGGTACCTTTCCTATGGCGAAATAATTTAACACTGCTGTGGTTTATCTACAAAATTCACTGTATGTTTTGCGTTTTAATTTTTGTCTTCTTATCATGTTAAAGGTATGTTTCGCCCGAAACCTGTTACCGCCTTTTTACATTACATCTCTGTTTTGTGATGTTTCATCGTACATTTATTTTTCATGCCCAAACGAATGATATAGATAGAGCAATACAAAACCGTCTAGGTTTTGTATTGCTCTATCTATTCGCTTACTTATTACTCGTAGTATTGAATACTGCGACTATTCACTTATTTTATTCATAAATTACTGAAATGTTCTCTATAAAATTTCTTTTACTTTTTCTGACAAAATCTTTCTATTTGTTTTTTTCTCCTCTTCTATTGTAGGCTTATACATGTTTTATGCCCTCTTAAGGGATGCAACCGTCACAGATGTATAACCCAAAAATGCATGTAGCACCCCTTTTTAATTGCATATTTTAATTGTACTAAAAACTAGTTAACACAAAATTACTTAACCAATTTCATTCAATTGGTTAAGTATATGACATACTTATTACCAATCCATATGCGATGTATAAATCATATAAATGTTGTCAGTATCAAATATCGGATGTTGGTATATATGCTGTATTTTAGACTATGAGTAAATAATATTAAACACAATTAATTTATCGATACTATTAAAGAACTTATTGATATCGGTTTCTAATGGGCGAAAATATTAGTGTTTACACAAAAAAAAACACAAACTGAAATTAATATTTTTTATATTGGTAATCAGAGATTTCATTGTTTATTTTAAACGTCCATAATTTTAGTATAGCTTGTGCGATACCGGCCTTTTAAGAATATGTAGATACCTTTTGTAAAGAGTTCAATATTGTATCTATATAAGTCTACCAGAATAAGCAGAAGCAGTTGGTAAAGTAAAAAATTAAGCAAGTACAAATAGCAAAAAAATGTGTGGATGAACTTCAAATTCTATGCTATGTATGTACCTACGCTGAAGTGAACGATACAGTAAGGTTTAAGCGTATTTAGAGAATAGTTTTGTTTTCCGTTTGCCTATAGAGCTTCAAGGATAAGGTGTTATGCCATTATATCAGAGATTGCGCTGGTTACGCATGCATGAGGTACTATTTCACTGCAGATATAGATGCGAAAAACCTACCTATCTAAATATTTGTGCAAGAAGTAATAGAGTATTACTTCTTGTACAAATAGGTAAGATACCTTCAATAAATAAAATTGTTAAATTCTATTTTTTTAATGGAAAGTGGTATGGTGCCTGTGTACGGTATACGCTGGCGTGGAACCAGAGTATGGTTAGGTGAGGATGAAGTCCAATATGTAAATGAATTGTTAGCAATGGAGTCTAGTGGGGTAATCTCTAGTACTAAACCTCCCCCCCCCCCCTCTCCCGGAGATTCTGCGTGATCTGTAATTCGTCGTCGTATTGTTTCTGTATATTTATAATTTCATATTATTGATTGCTCTTTCTGATATTTGTGGTTTAATATAACCTTTTATTTCGTTTCCATTCGCCTTCATTTATATAAAATAGCAACTACATAAATTATAACCAGTAACGCACTGTTCATCTGGGTGGGGTAAGCCATTGGTATTCAATTTCGCAAAATAAGTCGTTTCAACAATTTAATATTTGAACATATTTCATATATGAGTTTTGATAACAATATTAGTTTTAGTTAATAAAATTGGTTCCCTATCCATTTAGGTTTTGCGATTATTTGATAAGTAAACATTATCTATATGTGTATCAGAAAAATCAACAAGTATCTATAATTGATGGATTATATTTACAAACTTATGTATTTACTATAAAATACATCAGAGTATAGTGGTATCATTGCATTTCCGTATATATGTTATAACCAATATCATATTTAACCGCATAACTATGATGCTATTCCTATATGAATTCTGGGTCGGCAATTGTCAGTCATCACAGGCAGGTTGTTTATAATGTTCTGATATAATATACACATAGGATTATGGTCGGACATATTCCAATACAATGTAATAGACATAAAAAGAATCGATAGATGTTGTTACTCTTCCGTGGAAGATGTATGTATTCGATTAAATGTAACATATTATACATATAAACTATATTCTATAGTTATACATTAGTAAAGTATTCAGTTTTTTATGCGGATACACATGGGTAACGTCTCTGGATACAGCCAGCTATTTTAAAATTATCAAAACCTTAAATTCCTTAGTCTATATAATTTGGGGTCGCCGTAATATTTTTCCCTTCCATTCATTCCTATTTGCAGTTCATCTCTTTAATCATCACTTTCTTGATATAATATTTCACACATTCCATCCATATCTTATTTCTCTGTCCTTATACATATTCGAATATAACAGCTAGTGTAAAATATTTATAGTTAATAAAGTTATTGATGAAATTGTATCATGTTTACATGTCTATTTTTAGCATATATATCATATATATCTTCCGTAAAAAAATAACGAAATGACAGTGAAAATAGTTCCTATATATTCAATAGTGGTTTAGAAGTAAGCGAAGGAACAAACAAACGCGTAGTAGAGACATCAATATGTACAACCAAACTTGGCGTATTTTTTTAATACTGAGTAATTATAGCATTAGTGGTGCGAATAGGTGTAGTATCGTACAAACTATGATTATTTAGAAGAAATAAAACTGTTTATTGTTCGCTACAATTTCCCGCGTTGCGCCTACCCGTTTAACATTTGGTCTTGAACTTGTATTTAAATAATTAACCTATTATAAAACGTTTGAACGCAAAATATGTATAAAGTATAATATATTGTATATTAGCTGAGCCCGCGGTTTCACCCGCGTTATGTCCTATGCACCTATCTGTTATTCTGTTGCATAAGCTATATTACTGTAAAGTTTCATCAAAATCCGTTCAGTAGTTTTTGCGTGAAAGAGTAACAAACATCCATGCTTACAAACTTTCGCATTTATAATATTAATAATAAGATAGTCAAAATTATAGGTCCATAATATGTTTCTGAAAACATATTTTCATTATTCTTTTCTCCTTGTGAAAGTCCATTTCATAAATCAAATAGGATTGATTTTGGTGTAAGTACGATACATATCAATAATGTAAACTTAGTTATTCATACTAATATTGTAAATGCGAAGTGTGTTTATTTATCTATTCAATTCGTCTTTGTTTATATTTTCTCAACTAAATGGGATCTTCATGGAGTTTCACGTGAATATACATAGATTGTATCACAACAGACAGACACAGATGTGTTTTTTAGATATATTTTATATTTATATCTTAAAAAAACATAGACTAAGTTACAGGTAATATCGGAATGTAAATGAGTCGTGAAGAACAATGTGCTTTAGTTATTTGTTCTAAGGTATCGAAAGTGTATCGAACATGCTCGATTGGGTTTCCACAGTAATTTTGCTCCATAAAAAGACAGCGTGGTTTCAATATGAAAGTTAGTATTTCATATTGAAACCACGCTGTCTTTTTATTATTAATTTGCATTATAATATTTATATTAAATATGTATATAATGATATAAAATATATATATATATATTAAATACAAGCCACTATCCTGGTAACTTTTTAATACGCATACTTAAAAATAAAAGCGAGGGGGACAATTACGTTTCATAGTTTTCAATTCCCGTGGACAGTTTACTCGAAGCTATTGTGGTATTAATTTATTTGTTTGCGTATGAACAATTTTAATGTTTCGTCGACGGGTATTGACAAAATCGAGGAGTGCACGATAATAAATCACTTATAATAGCAGTTAATAAGTATGACTACTTATTTCCTTCCCTATGTCAGTTAGTACGTACATAATAGCGTAGAATTTTAATGATTTTAATATAAAATCGACTTCTTGATCGACAAATCGACAACAGATATAGATGTGTCTAACTATTATTCAATGTACGGAGTCTGTCTGCCCCGCCTACAGTTATGTATCTACTGAATTAGTTGATTAGTTGCACGGCGTGACACCTCAATAGTAGCGTAGACGTAGACGCGTGGTTCGCCGAATTCGGTAAAGTGACGAGGCAAGTAGTCGGTAGAGGAGGCAACGCGCCGCTCGCACTCCTGCTATTACTATATAGGTACAGTCTGGCGGCGCGGCGTGCGTATGTTCGGCGCGGGCGTCTTCTACCAATCTGCTACAGAACTCATGTTCCGATGACTTGTATGGGCGGGCTTCGCCGCTTTGGCAACCCGCCGCCGTTATTTTTAATGAACCTTGAGATCAACTGCCCTTGCCACTATTAATGCAAGTCGACATTTGAAATCATGGCCTATCTTAACTACCGTCACACAGTCTAATTATTATTTGCTTTTTATTATTAACCGCATCGTATTTCTCCTTGTATATTAATATATTTAATATATATATAACTGATTGCTGTAGTTAAGAGATCTATTATATGTAAGACTAGCTGTGCCCGCGGTTTCATCCGCGTTAAATTTCAATAAAAAATATAGGTTAAGTGTTATTCTGATGCATAAGCTATATTACTGTAAAGTTTCATCAAAATCCGTTCAGTAGTTTTTGCGTGAAATAGTAACAAACATCCAAACTTTCCTGTTTATAATATTAAATATTATTAAGATACTAATGAGAAAAACTAATATTGGAGAACTACGCAATATATTCCAATACAATTATTTATGCCGGTTTGTCTGTGCGTTTGCGCGTTCTTATCTTAAAAACGGTTTAACCATTGGGGTGTGGTTTTCACATGTATTGTGGCAAGTTTCTCTTAAAATTTTGTTTGTTTTATTCCAATAGGTTTACAGACAAATAAGTTATAAACTATTGTTATTTCGAATACTATGGGTATGAAGTTGCGGGCTCATCTATTTTTCTATTTAATACTAGCTGTTCCCGGAACTTCATCCGCGCGTGAATATAACTTTATTTTTCTAAAATAATTATACTCCTTATTACATCAGAGCTACCTGCCAAAAAAGTCCCCTCGAAATCGGTCCAGCCATTTCAGAGATTAGCCAGAACAGACAGACAGACAAAAATTGAAAAAAAAAAGTAATTTGGTGTATGTACCGTATTTATTTTCATATGCATGTACTAAAAACGGTTATTTCAATATTACAAAAGACACTCCAATTTTATTTATATGTATAGATTACCTATATACTTACACACGTTTACCTCAGAATTAGGATTGACTGTCCACAAGAGACATTTGTGTCGTCTGTTCTATGTAATTCAGTATCACAGATAGTAATAAATTATAAAACTATGAATTTGTCGTTAAAATGTAAAGCATATTATATAATTTAGACCCAGACCCAGACTCGCAACGATCCGAGATTACAATGCACGAGCTAGCTACTAGGTACCTGTTCATTAATTTTGAAACACATTATTCTAACGTCATAAATTAGAACGATAATAAAATAAATATAAATAAGATGTCGAAACAGTAGCAAGCATCGCTTATTTATTATATGTATATGTATTGGGGAAGTCGATGAGTAATCATTACTTGTTACGAAGGCGAAGCAGAAAAACAAGTGTGCTGGCGGGCCAGCCAGCGCGTCGTCCCTCCGCGACGAGTGTCAAATCGAACCGCGGCCTGAGACTGCTCCGGTGAAAGGAAGGTTAAACGCTACACCAAGACGGATTGCAGCAACTTTACTAAAAATGGCGTCATTCATACATTTCGCGGTTGCATTATATTTAAAAAATAATTATTGCCGAGTAACTCATGCGAATATTGTGTTATTGGTTGAAGGACACCGACTCTTTTTTATTGCTCCTGAATCGTTTTAATATTGGTAATGACCATTTTTATAAAGTGCGGTTAACACTACTGCCTTAAAACAACTATTTATGTACAGTTCTGTTATAAATTATTTCTTTTTTCTATTTCAGCCTCAATGAGTGTTATTTTGCGAACAAGGGAGCGGCGTTGGTACTGGGCGGGTCGGAGTGTGGCTGCGCAGACCAGCGCCGGGCGTCGGCGCGAGCTCATCCCCAACCTGATATACAACATCATCTGCAGTCCATGTTCTACCTGCTGCGCCCCGAGGAAACGCTCAAAATGGTTCTCAATAAATATATTTCATGCTATTACTATTAAAATATACGAATTTGTAAGGGAGTACGTCGAAATAGCGTCGATTTACTTTCTTAACTACAACTATTTTAGAATTTAGAAAATAAAACTTTGTGTCAATTGTAATCTTTAACATACATTATAATGATAGTTAACTTCATTAACAACGAATAACATGAGATAATGTTAACCTTACTTATTTCTACTTACTATATTAAATTGTTTGAACTACCTAGCATAAAAAAATAAAGAGAATAAAAATAGAACAGGAAATCAAAACGTTAAGATGACGGTATTTTACCATATAGGCGGTGAAATTGGAGAGCGCTCATGCAGGGCGCACCAGGTATTTGGTTGTGGTGTGCCGTAGCGAGGAGGCGGCACTCCTCGGTATTGACTGCAACGAGCGCACCACTGTCGGCCTAGTGCTGAGGGTCCTTGCGGATACGTCCATCAAACTCGATGGTGACGGGTGAGTATTTTTTTAATATAAGAATATATCTATATACTCCATGCAGGTCTTCTCATAAAGGGGGAACGGAAAGGAATTCCAAGCTAAAATCTATCCATTTTCATACTTTTATGTGAAATATATAATTTAATAAAAGATTAGAAATTAATTGAGGCTCAAAAATGTACTTAGGACAGAGTCCCACGATTTTTCTGAATTCTAAGTACATGTACAAAATAAAGAAATTTTAGAGGTAGATAAAAAATTTTGATTTAATAATTTTGATGACCCATCCGAAATTGTATGATTTTGTTGTTGTATGAATTGTTGGAAAAATCACCAGAATATTTTGAAATGAATTTTCATTTATGGGTATTATTTTATTGGTTATCGCTTTATATTGGTATTTTACGTATTTATAATAGAGGTAAAGGCATGATATTAAATGTTTACGGCATTTTATACTTACCTAAAAACCAATAATGAATGGTGCACACGTCCGCGCTAACTAACTGGCGGGACACCAGTGGAGGATGATAGGATGAGCATGAGGTCAGGTTAGCCCATCGTGGTAAATTCACATCCTGATGGAGGAATGAGGAATCTACTACCATGGTTTCCAGGGGAAACAGCGTTGAGATCAACCTGACATTGCTAGCAATGGGGTTAGCAGTCCATATTACTAACAATTCCCATCCCTCCTGTCAGGATATATATTTTTTTTTTAAAGGATGATAATGGAATAGTTCACCCGCCTGCGCTAATGATTTACGCTGGCGGGGTTCCAGTGGAGGATGATAGGATGAACATCAACAAGTCAGATCAGTTAGCCCAACGTGAGAAATTCACCGGGAATGTATCACGATGGTTCCCAGGGGAACCGCGTGGAGGTCGATCTGACATGGTGCATTGCTAATGGGATCATTAGTCCACATTACTAACAATCCCCTTCCCCCTGTCAGGATATATTGAACAATAACAAGAAATCATTTGCCTCAGTGTGCTTTTAAGTAAGAACAATAACTAATTTAATATTCATTGTCCACAGAGGGTTTAGTGTGCGCGTGTGCAACGAACAACACATATTCAAGCCAGTGTCAGTACAGGCCATGTGGTGAGTATGTGAGATTATACTAAATTATATTTGTATCTATTTATCTTCACATTCCATGCTGTACGCTTAATTATTTATTGTTTGTATTGACTTATCTAAATAAGCTCATTAACGAACAACACCAATTAAAGTTTCTTACATTAGAACACCACTTAGCATTTCTTACTCGATTGGTTGTTACTGTTAATATTTTTAAAGCACAAAACAAATGAATACAGTAGCGTTTACTGTATTCATTTGCAAATACATACCTACTACTACCTATATTAATCGCGTCCTAAAGAAGTTCTTACATATGAATTAACAATACATGCGGAACCCGTTGTTTGCAGTCCCTGTGTAAATTACGCGAAAAGCCTTTTTTAGGGATGATTCAGTCGTTAAACTTGAAATTTTAAAATACACTAAATTTCAAGTTTCTACTTCGAATTGTTAAAAGTTGGTTTAATATATGAATCAGTCAGTATTACTTCTACTTCCTTATTATAAATTATATATAATTCTTTTCATTATTCTACAGTATACGTGTTTATTTTAATCTAAAATCCAAAAGCTAAGATTTTTTGTGTTGGTGATGTAATTATACCGATATATATTTATGTTCGCAGTGTAATAAATTGCAATACAATTTTCGTTACTGTATAACCTGGTGATTAGTGAAATTTTGTAATAATGGACATAGATTTTACGAGCATTGTGGCTCAGTGATTTACTACAGCAACTTATTATAATAAATTCTCTTGGTCAAGTTTCAAATTTGGCTGATAAATAATAATTAAAATAACCTTGATTAAAAAATAGGATACTTTCGCTCACACGGTCTCAAATGATGGTTATCGATGACATTGGTACAAAAATGTATTTTTTAATAAACTTCAAATTCAAAAATCATTTAGGGCATTTTAGCATCATGTAGGACATTTTAGCCGCTTATGAACGTCAAGTTTTTACATTAGAATTTTTTTCCCTACCGTCCAGTTCGGTATATAGATCCAATTGAGAAGAACTGGCAAGAAACTCAATTGAATTACTTTTTTTTTTAAATCCATTTTATTTACAATGCATAGGTATTTATATAGGTGTCTATGTCTAACATTAAATGAAAATAACGAACATGAAAACTATTGCCATGCACGCTTAAAATATTTATTGTGTTTAAGTATATTATGCGACATCGTATTTGGACATAACTTCTTTTTTCTCCAATACAATTCAATTCCTTCAAAATTAATACACGTAAGTCCGAATTTTTAGATTGAAAAATGGGATGCTGTGTTTGACAGCAATTAGTTATGCGGTGGATTTGTGATATGTGGTCTCAATGAAGAAAATTCTTATTATATAGTCTAAAATCTCATTTTTTACATTTTTGTATCATATATATATAATTATATATAAGGTACTTGAATTAATAATAAGCGTTTCAATCAAGAGGCCGCCACCAGTGTATGTTTCAATATTCCAGTTTGCAATGTCTTCCCGCTAAAACCTACATTCTGTGGTCGTCTTAAATAGCTACTACCATTGGGTTGAAACGTATACAACAGTACTAAATATTGTTTCGAACTTGTCCAATTACGTACCAGATAAAGCGTTTTTGCGGGGAGTTCTTCTTCACGCCAAAAAAGGAAGGGCTTTTTGATTCACATTATCACTGGCGATGAAAAGTGGATTCGCTATGATAACCCAAGCGCAAAAAGTCATGGGACTGCCCGGACAGCCATTAACATTCTTCGCAAAGGTAAATATTCATGGCATGAAGCTTATGCTCTGTATTTGGTGGGACCAGCAGCGTTATCTACTACTGAGCTGTTCAAACCGAATGAAATAATCACGTGGGAATGCTATCAGACTCAACTCATGCGGATGAGCGTCATAATGAAGCAAAATCGGCTACAATTCAAAGAAAGGCACAACTAAGTGATTTAGCAGCATGACGTGGTACAAATCTGACAATGGTGTCCTTAGTCCTTGTCTTTTAGAGCCTTGTTTTCCAACCTTTTTAGTCCATGCCATGATATGCCCTTAATCTTAGCCTTTCTAAAATTCTCATAACAGCCCTCAATAATATACATAACTAGCTATCCCGGCAAACGTTTTGCCATAATAATTAATAACGCTATAAAAAAATAGGGGTTGATGATAGAAGGGTGAAAATTTAGGATTGTATGTATTTTAGTATGTTGTATCAGAAAAAAATAGAAACTAAAAATTTTGTCTAAAAAATGAAATAAAAATTTAGGGGTGGACTACCCCTAACATTTAGGGGGATGAAAAATAGATGTTGGCCGATTCTCAGACCTACTCAATATGCTCACAAAGTTTCATGAGAATCGGTCAAGCCGTTTCGGAGGAGTATGGGAACAAAAACTGTGACACAAGAATTTTATATATAAGATTTATAACATTAAAAAATTGAATTGTTCACTTAAGAAACATAATAATAATAGGTTTCACTAGGAGATTGTTAATGAAAAAGTAAGTAAATTTTCAAAACAAATAAAAATTGAAATTCACACATAATTTTGAATGAAGAGTCCATTTTCGAATTTAACCCTTTAACAGTCATAATGCCCTTCTGTGGGGCGAGGGCCACACGTTGGGAAACACTGTCTTAGAAGCATTATCAATGGAATTCAAAGTAATTGACTAAATATCATATCATGTTTCAGGTCTGCTCTACAGACCCTGCACCGTGCCAGTAGCCGCGCCCGTGCGTTGAATCACTTCGCGGGCGGAGCGTCGCATGCATGGTGCGCACACTACGAGGAGCACATCGACTCGGACCGCTCCTGCCTCAACGAGTGGCATGCGATGGACTGCATTGAGTCCCGGCGGCCACCGTCACCGGATTCGGTCAGGCTGAAGTGAGTTCCACTTAACTTCCAACTTTACTCTGATTCTTCGATTTCTCATGGTCTACTGTTGAATACGACTTTCATTCAGTACATTAGTTGACCACTTGTAATATAGAGAATATAATATTGGCTATATCACAGGTAGAAAATACGTGTACTCATTACGCAAGTGGCATTACTTATATATACCAATTATTGTCTTCTCTAAATTGAATCTCTTTCACAACGTAGAGGCCATCCAAACATTTTGCGGACAACAGTAAAATAACGTACAGCGAGAGCCTTATCTTTGCATGAGATATTAAAAAATATATTTCTATCCTCTTCAATTCTGTATCGATTTTGTTGACTTCTTTTGCAATCGTGGGTGTGTCTACTTCCATTTTGATCTCGCACTACAAAACAGAATTGTATATTTTGTAAGTAAACTGACAAAATATACAATTAGTCCCTGCAGTTCGCAGGCACTAAATAAAATGCAACTCCTGGCTAAAAGCAATAAATCTAGCTGGCACGTTGCTGTTGTTATTTCAGTAGTACACATTTTATGTATGTAATTATATATGCACCTGACAAAATTGATTAACATAAAAACATTAATGAATATATTTATATTTAAAAAAATCAGGCATATTTTTTAATATAAATATATTAATTTTTCTTCCTGTTGGAGCGAGACATCAATAAACAAAACAATACTACTATCCGCTAAACAAACATAAAATTAAAGTATGTTCGGAACACACTTTGATTTTAGTTTTGTTTACAAAGCCAATGTAACGGTTTTAGGCAGATAAAACTAAAACGGGAAATATCTAGATTCTAGATATTTGAGAGAGAACGAGTGACATTTTTTTAAATTGTTCTTTAATTCAGACACAATGATCGCACATTCAGTATAAATATCAAATACCACTGCCCTGGAGTAGTTGCCGCACGATGTCAGACTGTGGTATGTTAGCCGGCGATGTAAGTCGCGTGTCATAGCTGGTTCGGAATAATAGGTTTTCCTCATATCGTCTACAATTACAGGAACCAAATGTAAAACTTCAGTTAAAAATTTCAGCTATTGTATAATTAAGTATTAACACATCAGCATACATAACACATCACGCGTACTGGAGCCTAGACCCCGTTTCTTGGCCTCGTTAAGGATCGGACAGCGGCCAATGCGTCAATTACAATACGTGTATGCATGCATGTGATTTGCAGGACATGAACAATCATCATAAAACATGCTGTCTTACATACTTTTTATAACATGATTAATCATTAATGGAAGCTCGGTGTACACTGTAGCGTTTATTAATCTTTTCCTGTTATTATCTAGTTTTACCTTTAACACGAAGTCCAATGAACGTAAGGCTCGTTAGTAAATAAGATGTTTTGAATAAATATACAATTATTACATGATGTGAACTGAAAATTGTGCTATAATATAATGTATAATTTTATTTCTCATTATAAATGCTATGAGTTAACTTATTCATGGTTTTATTTATAACAAGTGATTGTTTTTATTTTTAACAGGCCTCGAAAAAGAGACGAAACAGAGCGCGTTATCCGATGTACATTGAAAGAAATAATGATGAGCGTTGATATAGATGAAGTAACAAGCAAAGTGATCCGCGGACGGCTAGAGGACGAATTAGATATGGACCTTGCCGAATACAAGTCGTTTATAGACCAAGAGATGCTCACTATATTAGGACAGATGGATGCACCCACTGAGGTGTTCGATCACGTCTACCTTGGTTCTGAGTGGAACGCCAGCAATCTTGAAGAATTACAACGAAACGGGTATGTAATGAAAATGAACTGTTATATCTATTTTTTTAATTTTTATATCAAAAGATACTTTTTTTACCTATCTCAAATTGCAAACAAAACAATGTAGCTAATCTAATGGATAGTGGTAACCATGGCCTATAGATATAAATAGATTATAACTCCCGTGATACCTCTAATGCGTTGCTATTTCTCAGCACTTCTAAGCAATTGAACATGTGATTTGTAATTTTGCTCCCCTAATCCTCATAAACAGAACGCAATTTGTATAGGAAAATTACTTGATGACAGAAATTGGCGGGATCTTTCCTTCCTACTTAGTGATACTATTAATGTGATATTACCGTTGAAATAATTATTAATAGTGTTACACTTTATACTAATACTATATTCTACATAAAACATTGAAATAATAATATAAATTTATTGTTTCAGTGTAAGGCACATATTAAATGTGACAAGAGAGATTGACAATTTTTTCCCAGGTATGTTCCATTACCTAAATATAAGAGTGTATGACGACGATAGAACTGACCTTCTTAAACATTGGGACAACACATACAAGTATATAAACAAAGCCCGGAATGAAGGTTCGAAAGTACTCGTCCATTGTAAAATGGGCATCAGCAGATCCGCTTCCGTTGTAATCGCTTATGCAATGAAGGCATTCAACTGGAACTTTGAGAAGGCTCTAAAGCATGTGAAAGCGAAAAGAAATTGTATAAAACCGAACACAAACTTCTTAAGTCAACTAGAGACTTACCAAGGAATACTTGATGCCATGAAGAACAAAGAAAAATTGCAAAGATCGAAATCGGAAACCAATTTGAAATCGCCAAAAAATACTTCGAAAGTAGAGAGTAAAATATTGGATCCGACACCTCTAGTCCTGGCATTGACTGGTTCTTATATTGGTAGGCCGCATTCATGGTCTCCGGATAGCAAACTGGCTTCCGAGCTGTTGCCGCCTACCTCTGTCTCTCTAGAAAACCTAGTCTATGAAACTCGACATATATTAATGCCCTATGCAAATGGAACTTACAGTGTATCACCTAATCAGATTATAAGGCTGAAAGAGGAAGGAGCCCCATCAGTGAAACATATTGTAAATGAAATAGAGAACGCAGCGTCCAGTGAACGTCGAGATTTCAATAAAAGACATCCGAGATCGAACACTGGAAATCAAACTGATTCATCTAGTGTAAGATCATCTGATGGTTCGGTAGCCCCCGTATTGCAAATGTCTGACGCACCTAGTAAACAGCAACCTCAGGCATCATCACCGTCAAAAAATTTAAGTCACAAATATTCCCATTCAAATTTAGAAGACGACAAAATACATACTTGGGATCCCGGGGAAGCTTCGTGGTCCAGGGTAGAGGACAATCGGAATACAAGTGACAGTGATAATATAGTAAAAAGTGATAGTGGTATAATCGACGTAAAGACAAAAACGAGTGACGCTTTTTTAAATTTAGTAGACCGTAATATAGAGAGCGAGGAGAAGAGAGCGGTCGACGAGGACGCGCCGCCGCCCAGCAGACAGAGTTCGTGGAGTTCGTTCGACAGCGCCGTGGTGCCCGACCTGTCGCGGCATTCGTCCTGGGGCTCGTACGAGACGCGCGGCAGGGCGCCGGTCGCCCGCGACGACGCACCCAAGCGCGGCAAGGAGGCCGCCCGCCGCGACGACGAGCGGCCCGCGGTAGATCTCGGCAGTATCAGCGAGCACGCGGAGCCGCGCCGCGCGCCCCGCGAGCCCCGCGACATAGCCGACAACGTGCGCAAATTCAACGAAACGTGTGCCATACTGGGTGAGCTGGCAGAGGTGGCGGCGCGAATGGAGAGCGCGCGCGACCGCGGCGCGTCCACGTGGAGCGGGCGGCTGTCGGCCTCCGCGCCCGCCGCCAACGCCGCGCGCGCCGGCCTGCGCCGCCGCCGCACCGCCTGCGCCTCGCACGGCGACTTGCCGCGCGCCGCGCTCGCACCGCCGGCCGCGCGCGCCCCCGCCGCGGCCGGGCTCGTCAGCAACCTCAAAAAGGAATTCGAGGCACGTTCCGAGGCGGACGCGGTACGCCGCTCGCGGTCGCGGGGCCGCGCCGGGCCCGCCGCGCCCGCCGCGCCCGCACCCGCACCCGCACCCGCGTCGCCGCCGGCCGGCGAGGACGTGTCGGTGCGCGTGCTGGTCGACCGGTACGACCGGCCGGGCCGCGCGCGCTGCGAGTCCGTCTCCAAGAAGTGCCGGCTGGCGGAGGGCCGCGGGCCGCCGCTGCGCAACTCGTTCTGCGGCGCGCTGCGCACCGGCTGCGGCCCGGAGCGGCCGCCGCTGGCGCCCACCGTCGTCTCGATCGCGCCCATCGACTACTCCAACATGGTGGTTTCGTCTGTGATGTCCAAAGCTCAAAATAAAAAACAATTGCAACACGGAAAGACCCATCCGTTGACGAGGCTCAACTTGAATCGGTCGAATAATAGATGTTCAAATCCTGTATATAATACTATGTAGAAGTATTTATGGTTTTTATTTATTATAAATTCTTGCCAAACTCGATGTTCTATCTTTCTAGAGTTTTATATGCTATTTACAAAATGAAATCACAGTGTATTTGTCTATCACGTAAATTGTGTTAAGCGGCTGTTTGTGAGTAGAGACATGTTAACAGGAAAGAATAAATACAATACAACTGATGTACAACTTTTACATGTGCAAGTTTTTTTTCATGACACCTTACCCTCCTGTATTGTCTTATCAAATGATAATATAGGAGGTGACGTTGTGCCATGTTGATCCCATATTACCTTGTTAGTATCCATCTAGTTTTATTGAACATGCGGAACTAAATACATACATGTTTACGATGATGGGATTTGTCATGAAAAATTACCAATAACATTTTACTATGAATTGACATGTTAATAATAATATGTTCACGGAATTTGAATAACTGATGACGCAAACGGCCACATTTCAGTGTTAAACTTATCAGAAAACTACTATGCAGTTTTAGAAAAAAAATGAAAGTCATTTTGGTTGTTTTTATAGTAGTTTTAGGTGCAACTATTTAATTTTTTTTGTGACAATTGAGAAACTTGGTATTTATTATATTTATTTGTGTTCATCCAAAATCCACAGTTTGCAATCTCTTTCCTGTAACAAATGCGACACGTGGTGTGTTTTGAATTTCCGTATTTTTTTTGTAAGTCTCTGTTATTTTTGGCTTTCGTCTGATTGTTCCAAAATCAAACGCGTATATGCCTCCTGGATTGTTTCTAATAGAACATTCAGTCTACAACAAATAAGTGTTTCTTTAAAACATGTCCACTGAGTGTATATAAATAATGAATTGATGTTTTTATAACTATGTAAATTTGACAACACGAATGTAACGAATACGCCGCACTCAACCTAATGAAGACTTATGGATGTAGTCGTACGTATTGTTAAGACAGACCAAAACAAGTCAAGTTCAGAGACGATACGCGTGCTTTAGCGATTCTGACTGCAAAATGGCCGGGCTGAACACCAATTTCTCTATTAGGTATGGGAAATTGCAGACATGACGAATACAGACAGAAATCACGTCAATTTTTTTATAGAATTCTTGATTGGTGACGCAGAACGCATCAAACGACGACGTGACAAACGGCTTTATAAAAAATCAATACTTCGAAAAACAACGCTCTCATCTATTCTAATTATAAACAGATTGAAATGGCAGTTTTAATTACAATTATGCTTATGACTTTCAATCAGTTTCAAACGACAACGGTTAGTAACAGTCCCGTAATTTAGTTGCTAGAACAGTCATAATACAGAATATCATTACTCAGCATTATCATTATTATTACATAGTATAAAACAAAGTCGCTGTCGCTGTATGTCCCTATGTATGCTTAAATCTATAAAACTACGCAACGGATTTTGAAGCAGTTTTTTTTAAAGTGATTGTAGAGGAAGGTACATATAATACATGTACATCCGTGCGAAGCCAGAGCGATAAGCTAGTGTTATAATGAATTATTTACATACAATTTTCGTATTTACGTCTACCAGCCTCAGTAAATTAGAATCGGATCCACCGCAGACAATTAGACTCGTCTGTGGTACAAATTTGCCGCAATGAAGTTTTGAGTGCTGATTGTCAGGCGTTATATTTTGTATTAATTTGCATGAACCATAATCCCATATTTGTATATTCTCTTTTTCTTGCCAAGAACATGTCAATATCTGAAAATCATACTTGGTTTAAAAGTACATAGATAGGTTTTGTTATTATCAAAGCTAGTATATGTATATTTAACTACGGTTTTTAAGGAAGAATTGGGAATGGTATGACCTGGCGGTGAACCAGTAGGACGATATCAAGCATGACGTTAGGTTAAAGCTCATATTTATTATGAATGAACCACTGCATGTATTGCCTATTATGCCATTAACAAACAAACATTTTTGTGAGTGTGTAAACGTATTCTGAAATATATAATTATTTCCCACTTGTCCCAATTTTATATATGGCGGACGACATGATATTACGAATGCTTAACCTTTTAAAATAACATATCATGTTATTCCTGAAATTCTTACTTGCTTTCCCGGTTTGTCGAAATCTAAGCCTTCACCACATATATGTACACCGAAGAAATATCGGGTTGCGTATGGTTGTCTATCATCCCAACACATAACAGCGTTATCCCATCCGCCAGATATCAATTCGTGATGAGACTTGGGATTGAACGCACAAGCAAATATTCTTGATGTGTGACCATCCGTTATATTTTTTCTTTCACTAAAAAATATTAAAAAGCTATTAAATAACAATAAGACAGATACAGGACATGTCACGCAGCGTCATTAGTCTCAAGCTAAGCAGAGCGTGTTCTGGGTACAACTGATATCGATGCTTAGTTTTTATAAATACACATAGAAAACACCGAGCCCGATACACACAATCATACTTATGGATACAAATGTTTGTACCGTGCGACGCGGCGACCTTCGGATGTATGTGTTAAACCCAAATAAGACGGATACCTTTGGAAATAGGAAATCTTTCTGTTTCAGCAAGCTCTGGGCTAACTATTTGCCAGTTAAGTGTACTGTCTGTCATGTATGTACATAGATATATTATTCTATTCTTTACATAGTATAAAATAAAATCGATTCCGCCGTCTGTTCACTTAGATCTAATACAGTTTTTAACAATTTCAAGAGGTGTATATGTATAATGCATGTACTTACTCCCATCGAAGTCGGGGCGGGTAGCTAGTATATTATACATAGGTCAGTTATATCACAGATAACATAATATCATATAGTTATATGGTACTTTAAAGTTGATATGAACTTTGTAGGAAAACTGTATAATATACTTATACAGTTTTGAAGAAACTATACCTAATTATTATGTTTCACCCGATTATATGCGATTTTTATGAAATAGGTACCCGCGATGGGTCAATTATGTTCTAACACTGAGTAGGTATTAAATATGAAAATTATTGTTCTTGTACATACTTTGATTTGTTGTACCTAATAGAAATTATGTACAAGCATACATACCTCGAATAGAACGCTCTTTCTTGGGTTTGTACTTCCTCGTCGTACATGTTTAGTTTGGCGTCATCGCCATAAGTAACAAATTTTGTATACCGTGGATGATAGCACAGTCCTAAAGTCTGCCGTTTTTCCCTAATTGTGTATAAACATTGATCGTATTTATATTTCCAACATTTAATACATCCGTTAACATCTAGTAAATAAACGAAAAGCACAATATCTGTGAATAGATACTTCTTTTATTATAGTTTCACTGTGGAAAAAATGTTTTTCATCGATCCACAGTTGATTACCTGCGTAGTGGTCTAGACAAACTTTTATCTTTTATACTATTACAATATGTGCATCTTCGTGATGCAATCTACTATTACGACAAATGTTATTAGCATCCTTTTCAGACGTTTCTTCGTGAAAAGATAACAAACGGATACACTTTCGCATTTATAATATTAAATATTGGGTGGATTAGTATGAATACACCTATGTAAATACATATACACTGGGGAGCAAGGCGAGTATTGTTAGTAATGTAGACTGATATTCTTATTGGTAGTACTATTTCAGGTTGACCTCCACGCGGTTCCCCCTGGAAACCATCGTGATAAATTCTTGGTGAATTTGTCACGATGGGCTAACTGGCCTGACCTTATGCTCATCTTATTATCCTCCACTAGTGCCCCGCCAGCGTAAACCACCACCATTCCATTGGTGCACCATTCCATTATCATACATAAAAAAAATACAAATATACTAACATGATGCTAAAAGCATGTTTGTGATTGGGTGAGCTTTGCTGATAGGACGATGTCTGATTGTCGTTACTGGACCAGGATATGCACGACACTCATCATCCACTAGTGTATGAGTACAATTGCCCGTATTACAATCAAAAAGTCTGATGGTGCCGTCTGTAAATCCTGCTGCGAGGTCATTAACGTCCTCCGTATATTTACAGCACATAATATCTTTGGTTGTATCTCTGAAATAATAATAATAACTCAAGACAATGCCATCTAGCTCCAAGCCAAACATAACTTATGTTTTGGGGTACTAAACAATTGGTAGAAATACTTTAATACATTTTTTTAAATACAAACATAATATACATTAAAACATTTCTTCAGATCATTACAAACAATCATACTTATGTATGACTGTACCGTGCGAGGAATCAAATCCGCGATCATCAAAAGGCGGAGAGTTAAATCGCTAGATCACCGAGGCCATCTGTCATTAAAATATCTTAATCTACGAATGTTTATATTATTTCAGAAATAGATTAACTGATATTTTTAAGAGATTTCATCTATTCGTTTTCAACTTTTTTATGAAACATACCTATTCATCCAAAACAAGATATAATGGCCTCTGATGACTAGGTAACGATAATGGATTTCAAGTAGATCGCCAGTTTTTATGTACTTCTGTTAAAAGAGGATAACAATAGCTTAACAGCGTAACGACCATTAATTTAAAAAAATCTATAATTATCTTTCAACGCATAACTTTTCACCATATTAAAAACAGTCTGAAATGTCATAACTCTCATTTCATTTCACTACCTTCACAACATACAAGTGCATATCTAGAACAGCTTTATTGATGATATAACGTTATACGCGTAACACCTTCAGTAATACCATAAATAAAAGGCCTATCGAATAAAATAAGCATATCATCTATTAGACGCGATTTTAATAGGTAAGGTTCAATTAGATTACTTCAACCACAGACAATGAAAGGTCAGCTTTCATTATAGTACTAGAAGGAGTTTACACAATATGCTTGAGAGCCGAGCGTTGTGGTTAATTGGAGACGACACATTCACAACTTCACATAACATACACACACATCCACCTTTCGTGTTCGTGGATAAATATAACCCTCTATGGTGAATAGATATCTTTTACGTAAGCGCGTTAGATCCTAAGTATTGATTTCATATCATTTTACTCCAGACGAGGTAAGACCAACCGCAAACCCAAAAAAAAATATTTACATTAATAAAAATAATTCTCCCATATGCGACAAAGTTTTTTTATGTACCTAATTAGATTGGTAAACAACGTGACGGCCCACCGGGGGTAAGTGGTAACCGTCGCATTTATACATTAACAGTAGGCACTCTTGACTCATATGTGATGTCTGATGATACCAACTACGACATCATACAAATACAAAACAAGTTATTTGGCGGCTTGAATATTTCAGATTGAGGTACCTACGTAGACTTTTTAGAAAGTCTAATAATAAATTATCTTAATATTTAATACTCCAATTATCATAGTTACATACTTCAATTATTATGCTCACAATGATAATAATGGTGATCAAGGGTCAACATACATGACCGAAAGTAAATTTACTTCTCCTTGATATACTTGATTTTTTTCATTATGGAAAGATTTATATTCCATTGCAGGTGCATTAGTATGTACAGTTACTATTTCTTTTTGAGTGGCGTTACTTTTGACGTAAGTACTCGTAACAGCAAAGCTTTTACGTGCAGATTTCACACTAGAAAAAGCCATTGGGCCGGCAACTGATTTCCGTTGTGGCTCCATACTAAATTATTTCTGAAAAGGCCCAAAACATTTATTGTTATACTCAAAATAATAAAAACGAAAAATTTTGTAACTCTGTCAATGTCATAGCAGCAACTTTGAAGTGAATTCCATAATTGAAACTTTTTAAAAAGTACCAATTTATTGGGTATGTAGTTTTTTGTTGATGATGATGAAAAATTGTTTCATCATTATCAATAGAACCCATATACGCTGCTTACCGGCACCAGAAGCAAATGAATAGGGACGAAGCGAAGACAATTTGTTAATTGCGCTTGTGTTAACTTAAAATTAGGTACATTGTCATAAAAAGATCAGTTCCATACAATTGTACAGATATTTTTAAAACTTATTTTTATGATGTATATTGCGCTTTGGATTGTGGTTGGGGTCGTTGTCTTCGCTGCCGAGGGGCATATATGGACAATCTCATGTGTCTGTGCACAATACCAACAACTGGAGGGGAGGGGGGAGGGGCTATCAGTAATATCACGTAACATCCACTAACTCCATTGCTAGTAATGTACTATGTCAGGTTAGGTTACGTTGACCATCTCGCGGTTCCTCCTGCAAACCATTATGATAAATTGCCAATTGCCAAGATGGGCTAACTGACCAGACTTCATGCTTATTTCATCATCCTCCACTGGTGCCCAGTAAGTGGTAACCGTCGCCTATAGGTACACCTACATGAACAGCACTATGCATTCATGTAGGTGCGTTATCCTTCTGAAGGATTAAGATGTCAAGATGCGTCTCCCGTAATTTCACTGGCTTATCTCCCTTCAACCAAAATACATTTGACAAAACATGCTGCTTGCCAGTTGAATAGGCACGCAGAGAACTACGTCTTGTTGACCTCGGAGAAAAATGACATTTTAAAATCACCTAAGTTTAACAATTGTAACTAGGTCTGTTATTCCTAATTAGTAGGTACCCACTTATATTAAAAATAAAACAAAATTGCAACGCTAAATAAATTTTATTTCATGAATTCATGTCAATAAGTATTCATTATTCACACTCAAATAATAATGTACAATTGTTTTATAAATTACATAAGTAAAATCTTTCTAGCACATAGGTATTTAGTCATTTTAATATCACGGAGCAGCAAATAACGATGAGTGCATATTCACCAAGTGCAATAAGATTCTTTGTGGAGAAAAAAGTAAGTACCTAATTATATATTTTATTTATTCATATAGGGCGAAACAGTGCTACAATAGCGGTATAGCTGATTACCAGACATCAGGTTTCTGAATTGAACAAGAGTACGAACAGTAGTTAGGAAATTTAAAGAAATATCCTGCTTCAGCATGATAGAGGATTTGAAACGGCTGTCACATAATACCATACACATAAACACTCATTTTTACACTACCTCGCTGACTGCAGCTATAAATGAATGTTTCTGTAATGTCAAAAATAGCGTTAACTGCATTTGGGCTTTGTCGGTTTAAATTTTTGTTTATAAGAGCAAATAACCTCTCAATAAAATCGCAACTAGAACTTGTTGAAATATACATAAAATTGTTTCTTATAAATAAAACAAAACTAATGTTGACTCATTAGGATACGCTATTGAATGGTTGGTTAAATGTGGTATCAACTACCATATAAGCATGCTGTATTTGTATATATAGAGTAATATTTTTTAAATAAACGACAATTTATATAGTTAACAAATAGTAGTAATCTTAAAAAAAATCTATTGAAGTGAGTACTCGTTACTTCAATAGATTTAACTACGTGGGTCTCGCTATATAAATATAGTAGAAAGGACCATAACCTGATATTATCAAGGGGTCTGATTATGAAACGTAGTTGCATTTTATTCCCATTTGAAACAGAAAGTTTTGGGATTATGTATGAAGAATTTGAGTTGTAGTTGCAGTTTCTCAGAACATTTTTATCTGCAACTATAAAATGGTTAGTGACATAATAGCATCCCATCAAATCATATATTGAGCACAACATTATCAGGTATTAGTACAGTACCAGTTGGTATACATAAAAGTGCAGGCTAATTTGTGCGCGAACAAATCGGGATCAATTAGAAATTGCATCAAATACATTCGGTGGAATGTATCTTTTTGTGGCATTTTAATGTTATAACATATAGATTTTACTTCGTGATTAAATGGTAGAACAACATACCTCGTAAGTATAACGGTGATTTTATTATATATAGACTGTAATTCTTGTTTGACTGCATATAGTGTTTGTATTTCATACAGATTATGTGCACTATTTTATTCACACCATATACAAACTGTAATAACGTGAGTTCTATGAATATTAAAAATATTTTCATATTATTTCGACTATACATCAATATCGGACAAAATTATTCACTGTTTCTTTCATTGACTTTACAATTAAGGTTGATGCTATCCTATTCGATTGAACCTGTACTATATGACATAGATATTCAATATGTGGCTACAATAAATCATACATTCTATTATAAACATTCTTGACACACGAAAAACACACTATAGAAGTTTTTATGGAGAATTTAAAGTCACGTAACATTAATCATATTGCCACAATGTATTATATGTACACTATATTACGCCATACATGAAATACAACACTACTAACCACCATATCACTGCACTCGGACAATAAATAGACAATTATCTCTAGTTCACGAAGGTTTCTTTACACTCATTTCTTACACCTATTCCGTCTATCTTTTAAAAGGGCCATTACACAGAGCACCAAGTAAATAACCATTCAGCTACAGGTCTTGTGGCTACCTAGCGACTTATGTTGCATACGTAATTTGTACTTTATTTTCAGTGCAAAGTATCGTTATTATTAAGTTTTTTTAATTAGTGTAATAAACAAAATTTTGCGATGAGCCAAATATTACAAAGCAACAGGATATTTAGGGAATTTTATAAGCACCCAAAAGTTATATAGGACTTCATATAGCTTTTTCATTAATTTCATGTCTATGGATTATTATAATAATAACTCTTTTATTTATTGTCCAACACGCTGTTTTATTACATTACTATTATAATATTTCTTGATGACTGTACGATTTCAATAGAATTACATTAGAAACAACATTTTTGTTCTAGGCAAAGTGCACATATGATAAAATACTGGTAGTTTCTTGCCACCAGCCCTAACCCAGTCGATATGAGTAATATTTGTAAAATATAATATTGAATAATGTAGTGAACGTCAGAATCTTTACATCTTGACATATTTATGCGAGATAAAATTTTGAATGAAATATAATCTCGCAAATATATGTAACTTATAAACAATTTGAAAGCAATGGTTCAGTAATAATACAATCTTAATCAACACAGTTTATAATCTGCGAGTTCCTTTGCTTTTTAAAGATAGACTGCCTGTCCTTGTCTGATGTAATTCTAAACGTTACGTAAAAATTTCATTACGAATTGTTCAGCAGATTAACTATTGAGTTAGTACTAGTTCAGTTATAATTTGAAACATTAAAAATAGAGATAGCTCTGAGCAGGAACATATATGTATTGATGTAATGAAGATAGTATTACTTAGAAGAAACGCGGGTAATAATGTTTTATCAGATTGTAAAATTCTTTCCTATATTATTTTTAATATTTAATTTTTTTTAAAAGTTCATTTTGCATAATATTGTAAAACTATGTACGAAAATTTCATAAAGTTATTACGTTTTCGTCTTTCGCGATAATTGTTTTAACTTCATTCGGAAGTCTTTCTCAAAGTTAGTACGGCGCGTCCGTTTAAAGTACAGACAGATGTAGGTTGAACAATAATAAAATTAAAAGGGATGTTAGTTAGTTGCTCAAGACTGAGTTTGGTATCAAAATACAGAAACCAACGTATAATAGTTACCGGTAGATAGATTGTTATGATGTTAGATAACATGAACTATGGCATGTGTTAGGCGAATATTTTATTTCATTAAACTAACGAACGTATAAAGAGTGTCAGAGTAAATTAGAACGATGTCATTGCAATTGACTGGCACAATGGCAATCAGTGCAATGTCTCCTATAGTACGTTAGTGCAAATATAATACTAGAATGAGGCAAAGTGTACGGAATATGTATATTTAGATTTAACCTGTCAATTTAAATAAAAATTTTGGAAAGTTACTTAAATAAATCTTGTCTATATTATTTTGTAAAGATACATATAAAATTAACAAATAAAAAAAGGATAAGCTCTATAGTTGTCTATGTATTATGGTACATTATTATTTGTATATTGTTTTAGTATAGACAGTTGAACCGATAAATAATGACTAATTAGAAAGAAAAAAATTTAGAATACCTACACTACCAAAAAAATATTTAACAAAATCAATTTTTTAACATACTGAAATGACACCGAGAAGTGTAATAAAATTTGATACTTATTTAAATAAACCAAACCGTACTTTAATTTCAAAAGTATAATAATTTATGTAATTTTTACTAAATTGGCTTTAAGGTCAATGCGTGCGAAGCCAGAATATTCAAGAACTTGTTTAGTACCGATCCTGGTGTATCTATTCAAAATACAAGCAACTAATTAATTCAATTAAGTAATGCCTTTATATTATTTTTGTTTAGCTGAAAATTTAGATATTTCGATAATTTAATATATGGTAAAATAAATACCTACCTTTTTTTTGATACGAATAGGCATCATAGTACAGTTACAGTATTTAGTTTTCGTGATATAAAATTACTTGTTCTTAGATGTCAAAATTTAACAAATATTACTTCAGTAAATATTACTTATACAACACACGCAAAATTCATACATTATATATTATCAACATGCATATAAATTAGAACCAAACAACAAATGGCCAAATTGAATAAGTTATTACAACAAACAAATCAAGCAAAAACATGTACTTACATAAAATAAAAAGAATAAATTGCAATTTCATTCTTTACCCACCCTAGAGAAATATGGTCTAGTTACATAGTATAAATTAAGCTTTATGTCCCTAGTCAAACAAAATTGAAGTTACTAATTCACCATAACTAGAGTAACAGAAAGGGTATAACAAGTCCATAAACGGTAATAGTATCCATAATAAATAGCAACAACTTTAATCATTGGATTTAGACATACTGTCATGTATTTATACAATATAAAACTAGTTAATATGAAAAATACTTTTTATATTACATTTCAGTGACTTGATGATTGAATTTTTATATATGAGAAACCCATATTGGAGTCTCATGGGATTCAAGGGAAGTTCATTCTATAATTTATATGATGACCATGGAAGTAAATTCCAAATCATTATACCCTTTCTATTTTACTAACACATTGATAACAATATTTTAATGGATTATAATTTTATATCTTTTTGTCAAATATAATTTTTAATCTTGTAATAAATATAAAAATTGAAGAGATTTTATAAATATTGTACTTTTAGTTATAGCAAGGTAACACCACAATAAAGACTAACTAGGTACTAGATACTTTGCCAAATTTACCAAATGAGGTTTTCTAATACAACAACTAGAATAATTCCTCACAAATTTTGTCAATATTAGTGAAGATAATATAATTATTAGGCAACTTCCGAATGTTTATGCTGAATCAATTACTAAAATGTTTATGCACTGAATATGGACACTACGATTAACTGTTGTGTATATGTGAATTGGAATTCTATATGTTCATCTTCTCTTATATACTGGTGGACACATATAAAAGATCAACCATAGTAATTAATTGAAATAAGTAGAAATTGTTGTTTTCAACATGTACAAATGGAATAGGTTGAGAAAAACTGAATGTTACGAATTCTTGTATATGTCCTCCTGTCTCAGTTTTGAAATAATTTACATTTGAAAATGTACATAACTGAGAGTTCAAAGGTTTCAACAATATTTTGATGACCTAATAATTATAATACTACTGTTAATAATTTTTTGAACATTGTTCAGTCTTGAATTTATTTAAACCACTCTTTCAAATTGTCCTAAAATATAGTGGCTATTGTGTACCTACATGTCGTGTACTGCATATAATTTACATCTACCCATTCAATAAACAATCCCACAATGCTTACTCACAAAAATATTCTAATCATTATATTGATAAAAATAGACATCTGTCTCTTCAATTTTCATGACCACATCCACCTGAGGAAACACACAATAAATTTATAATAACCAACATTATTTGATAAACAATTATAACAATACAATAGATTTCTCTTTTTACAATACAGGTATGAACTTTTAACAGCCTGTTGTTAGAAACATACACCTATTAATATACAAGTCATAAATCATCTAAATTGATTAGTGTAGTATTTGACTGTAAGATAAATTACAGTATTATGGCAAATCAAAATTAATATGTCTATCCTTTATTCTTTACTGATATTACTTGCAGATATAATAGTTCACAAGAATGCACTGTGTATTTAAGTCCAATTAATTGTGAAAAATGTTTATGTATTAAAACAAAATAATAATGTTCACCATATTCTCTCATGAATCAGAACGAGATAAACATTTTTATAACTAATCGTGTAAATGGTTACATTGCAATATTAGATGAGCATTATTATTTTTATATTTTGGTGTATTGTTATTATTTTAGCAGAAATAAAATTGTTTTATTCAAAAACTTTAGAGTTATTAATATGATTCTAATACTCAATCTATGCAATAAATAAAATATAACGTTAAAAAATCTTAGACAGAATTGTTTTAAAGCATTAATTAAAATAATTAAATACATTATCATGTGAATCTATTAATATTTACTTTGGTACTTAATCCATTCATTGTATACAATTATAGTGTATGGTATCTCAGTTCTTCTAATAAATTGGTCTTCATGATAAGGCTTTGATTGAATAGGCTCTGGCTATATAGTATAATTTAATTTTGTACCTACATATGATTGATTATATACAGTAATATTGATTTACTTTACATAAGTACATAATTTATCTCCTTCTGCACTCCAAAATAACTGTCACTTCAATTAAAACCAGCAACAAATTATTTTAATCCCTTATGAATTGCTATGCATATATGCAGCAATGAATGGATCAATTAAGATACATTTTATAAAAAATATAACCAATAATTTGTTTTTCAAGAATAACAATAAATATATGTTACATACATTATACATTTTTCTAAAATGTTTTAGGCATATCTTTATCCTGTTACTAGTAACCCAGTGAATGTAAAGAAATTTATGTAATTCTAAGCTGTGAACAATATAAACTTAACAATCATTTTTTAAACTATGTATTGACAAACATAAGCACTACAACATCTATTATATTTCTGGTTATTAATTTAGGACATAACTACTATTTGAAACACAACAGTTTCACATTCTTAATATGTATACACTTTACCATAATAATAATAATATAAGTTTCAAAGAAATCAACAAAACACAAAAGCAATTCCATAATAAATTAATAACATCAGTAGCAAATATAGGTATACCACTCTTATTGACAAAACATCCCATTCATATTGTTGCAGATAAAACATAATGATAATTTATCTAATTGTTGCTACAATCACAGTGATTATCATGAGCTTGTCAAATCAGATAATGGATCAAACAGAGTGGCCTTGAGACTGATGTCTTTGTCCCCACTGACTAGAGGGTCCCTGTGCTGAGTTACCTTGTTGCATCCATGAGAGAATGTTAGGTGGTCCTGGAGGTGCAGACGATGTTGGACCTGCAAAGGGGCCCTGATCAGACCCTCCCGATGGCATATTATTCATTAGCCCCCAGCCAGCTGCCTGATTGAGTGCCGCCACGAGAGCTTGATTGACAGGTAGCCCTCCCATGCCCAGTGGCAAACTGCCACCTTGTGCTTGTGCACCACCAGCTGCTACTGCAGTTTGCCCATGTTGGCCTGACATACCCAGTGCTTGCATGTTGACTAACTCCATATTACGACTATTCCATGAATTATTGTTTGAGGTAGTGTGTGGATGCCCTTCCTCATAGTTTCTGCTTGGTAAATTCCTTTGATTTGCACCACTCTTATTTTGTTTGGGTGATGCATTAGAAACATTAACTGAGACACCTTTAATTATGTGATCTTGACCACACAGACTTTGTGCTACTTCTGGATCCAAGAATGTTATAAAACTAAAAGCTCTAAAGGGTTTTGGAATAAATACATCTGTCACTTCACCAAATTGTGAGAAATATTCCCTTAAATCATTTGCTGTCAAATCTTCTGTACAGCGACCCACAAATACCTTACAGGGCATGGAGGTGACTGACCCTTCTTTGGAATTTGGTATCCGAACATCACACCATCGGCCATCTATCATGTGTCTCTGTGCCAACACTCTCATCTGGGATGAGTATGAAGCAAATCTAATGAATGCAAACCCTTTTGACATCCCAGTTTTTGGATCTCTTTTTAACTGCGCCATTAAAACTTCGCCAAACTTCTCGAAATATTCTCGTACAGTTAGCTCAGTGGCCTTCCATGGTAAGCCTAAGACTATCAAATCTGAGCACAGATTATCGTTTCTCTTGTTTTTTACCGAAGACGTTTCCGAGTTTTCACCAGATTTACGTTTGTTTTCTTTAGGGAAACTGCAAATGTATAAATGATTGCCCCATCCTTCCGGAGGAGGATATAGTCTTCCGTCTCTTAATCGGATTCCTCTGATAGTCGTAGTCTCAGGATGTCGATACTTTAGGCCACAGCACCCAGGAAATTGCGCAGACACTGTAGTTAACATTAAGGTTCCATCTTCTTCAATAGGTAATTCTATGGGTTCTTCGTTGTCGTCTTCAGCCACAGGCAAGTAGTCGAAGGACATTATTTCTTAATCATAAACAATATTTACTAAAAATTGATAAAAATAAACACACTTGTTATACTTAACACTATACAAATGTACAATTTATATTTCATATAAATAAATAAAATTAAACGTCAGCCACGGGTTACGAACCCATTGCAAATTTTGCTGGTTGAAAACATAATGGAATAACCAGTTTTGATCGTTTTCAAGGTGGTATAAAAGAGACTTCGATGGTTACAAGTATCAAAACTATAAATCAGCCTATAATAATAGACAACTTTCTAAATTTGACATTTTACATCATCAGGGATCTAGGGTTACCATATTTTTTACTTGGTATAAACGTTACAATCGTTTCAAAAATAATTGAAATAATGACCGAAATAAGTTTAAATATTTAATAAAACATGTTATATGTCCTAATGCTAGTTAAAATACTACCTATATAATATATATATATCATTAAGGAACTACTAATTTGTATAGTTTCGGAATAATTTGTTTAGGTAACAATAAATAACAACGGTTGAGATAAACTTTTTTGCTTATTTCAAATATTGTGAGAGTAATATCTAATAAAACACACTAATGTAATCTTCTTTTTAGATTGAATAGAATACAGTCAACCGTTTAAATAGCTTTATATTTAGCACAGACTGTATACTGAATTATTAGTATCTGTTCTTGAATAAAGAGTTTGACAACTGTGCAGTGAAACATTGACATTTCTTACTGAAATAAATAAATGAAAAATAATAATTGAAAATTAGTGATTTTATTGAATTTTTATTAATTATTAACGTTTGTTTGCTGGAAATATCTGTAATAGTTACTAAGGTGATCCTCTTTTACTCAAGACTTTGATTTTAAAGTTATTCGTATTTAATTTCCAAGTGCTTTATTGAACATAACCTTAATGCGATCAAGAAATATTTTTTTTTTCTGTAGTATTTTGGTAATTATTTATTTATAAAATGTTATTGTCTTAAATATTTCATGTGAAATCGTGATACTATGGATGATGACTCTAAAGAGTATAGAAGAAATAAGCCACAGCAAAAGTTTTACAAACCAGGTAGTGGGCCGTTAAGACGCTCGAGTTATGGTTCAGATGCAAAAATGGATCAATACGGCCCTCAAAATTCCGTCAATGATGATGTTTTGAATCAGAAAAGTAAAGATTATTCAATGACAAATACCCGCCACAAAAAGCCAGAGCAGCAACTATACGTGCCTAGGTCAGGTGATACATGTTTAGATGATAGACAGTCTAAACACAAGAGGAGTGATAATTCTAGTCAGTACAACAATAAAAAAATGTTCAATAGATCGGAGAAACATGGTTATGGAACTGGATCAGGATCATATTCCAGAGGTGCTTCAAGAAGAGATAGACCACTTGCAGATAACCATTACAAAGATAACGTAAGAAGTAACGACCTTAATTATAATAGGCAATCTAGGCAAGTATCTGAAACAAGATCTATGTCACCCACTCATTGCACACAACAGAAGAGTAATACAGACCGAAACCGTGATAGTAGAAGTATGGAAACTTCTGCAGGCAGACATATGTCAGGTGGTGGTGGAAAACCACCCTCTGGTAGACGAAACTCAGCAGGATATTCTTCAGATTCATCAAGATCTAAGTATTCAAATTTAGACAATGTCCCTCCAAGGTTTCGAAAGAATATTTTAGAACAATCTGGGCGCTCTTTTGATAGTATTGATAAAATTAATAGAGACAGACATGCTTCAAATCCATCTATTCCTCCTAGTTATAATCAAGGTCAATTTTCCAATTCCAATTTGACTTGGTCACAAACACTGCCATCAAGAGGGAGAGGAAGACTCAGAGACAATGAGAGCTTTGATAGAGAAAAGTTTATAAATTCATACTTGAAGAATTATGATGTGCATAATTCCAGGGGATCAACTCCTAGTAGTTCCTACATGAATTTGTATGAACCAAATGTATTAGATAATCAAAATGAAAAGAATGTGGCATTGTCTAGCAGTATTGATAACCAAGCTGAATATAATGACAATTGTAAGTAATTTTGTTAATTTCTTTGTATTTCCCATATTAAAATAATAAATTCAATAAATAATGTGTTAATTGTACTAGGTAGAAATTTACTATATATTTATAATACAGTTACAATTTGTGTGTTCTAATTATTGTATGGATTTTTCTATTCAAATATCTATTGTATTACATATTCATATGTTTTTTTATATTTAATTTATATTTCAGCTATTAAAAATGGAATAAATGATGAGAATAGTGATGTATCATTCAATCATAGTGAGAGCAAACAAGAGTCTGATAGTCAACATGACAATGAAACTATATCTCAGATTACATCTAGTCTTTTAGATATGACTTATTTGGTAAGTTGTGCATGTAATGTAGTCCGGGATATTAGTAGCATAACTCAATAGTTTAATATAGTACAATATAATATAGTACAATATAATATAGTATAATCAGGTTATAACCATCCAATAAGCTAGGGATAAAGTGGGACCAATTACTAATACTCAACTTTAGTTACTAATACTTAACTAATGTTAAGTATTAGTAATGGCAACTGTGACTCTATTACTGGCAGTGCATTCTGTTAGTTCAATCTTTATGACATCCTCTTCTGGAAACCATTATACCTAATTCAAATTAAATTTGCCACTATGGGTTAATTGACCTGATTTTATAATCTTGCACTGGGAGGTACCTTAATTTGCTGTTTCATTATGATGGTAACCAAATTGATCCCACCTTGTTGGTGCTCATAACCAAAGATTGGAAATATTTACCCAACTGCACTGGGTTTCTTTTCATCAAAATTACATTTGGTTGGAATAATGACCTCATCTGTGCTCATAGTGTATGGTGGTAGGCCTGAAGGATGATTATATTATAATGATATTAGATCACTTAAGCTGAATTCACCAGGAATTAACTGAAATGCTTTCAAGGGGGTATGTTTTAAGGACAAGATATTTACAGTACTTTCTTAAACAGTGATCCTAATAGTTTCAATTATGCCAAATTTCCTTCTATTATTTTTCTCAAAAAAATTACATTTTATCATATTAATGTTGGATACATTAATATGTGAAGTAAAATGGTTTGCCTTACATATGCTGTAAAAAAACTTTCATTCAAACTATACACTGTATTATGCAAGAAGTCTCTGCTTCAATTTATTTCAACTCTAAGAACAACATATACTTTACACCCCTTAAGTGTTTTAATGAAAGATTCAGTGAATGTGATTCAACATCGAAACAGAAACAATGCAGCAATGCATCCTTGCTGTGTATGTAGCTATGCCTTCTTAACAAAATGTTAAATTGTTCTATTGATGTTCAATTTAGGACTGGACTGAAGAAGTTGAGAAAAATATTAAATTTGATGACATGGGTTCAACTTCAACTAGCTTTTCAAAAAATATACAATCATCAGAATTACAAGAAAATAAATCATCTGAGCCTCGAGATTCTAAAAGAAGCACTAGACCCCGGCGTAAGGATCGAAGGTATTTCATTTGTATATTTTTATATTTTAACTCCTATATTTATGCATATAAATGACTAGAAGAGCTTGATCATATTACGTAACTGAGAAATACCTAAACAGAGCAATAAATATCAGAATTATTTAAAATAATAATCATTTACTCCAATATACTTACATTTTTGACATTAGAATTAGTATATCAGTTTCTGTAAGTTAATTAAATTATCTATCTGTATATACATCATTTCACTTTCATCTATACAAATATTATAAAACTGAAGAGTTTCTTTGTTTGAGGGCTAATGATGCGTGCGCTGTGCGAACGAAGTCGCGGACGCAGCCACTATTGTATATTATCATAATTGTAACACTGCTACCTACATCTGCCTTGCTATTACGAAGTAATGCATATTATAACTAATATGCATTACATCTTATAATAAACATTCTTATTTATACAATGTTGTTTAGGATTCTTTTTTGGGTCTCACAAGCAAAACCATCCTTTCATTTATTAATGTTCTCTATTATTTCTATTTATGTTTAATATTATTTGTTAGGAGTTCAAGCAGAGGCCATAGAAATTCTGAAAAGAAATCTGAGAGAAATAGAAAAGATAGTAATAATAGTGTTCAACATGAATTAGATAAAAATCGAAAAGATAGCAATACAAGTGTTCAACATGAAACAATATTGTCAAACCTGAAACAAAGAGAAAGAGAGAGACGAGACAGTCACAAAAGCAATCGCTCCTCAACCATTGGTAACAGTAGAGATGATCTGGATCGGTGGCGTTCTTTACGTTCTTATAGCAGAGAACATAGCTCAGAAAGGTAATGCATTCGTCAATAATATAATATCTAATTATAGCCTAAACTAATTAGTCATACTACTTATTTTACGTTTTAATTAATATTTTCAATTTAGAAGGAGTTGGCAAGTGTAATATTTATAAATATGGATGCTAAAATTTTAAACATTCAATTGTATTAAATAAAGTTAATATGTATAATTCGAATTTCCTAAAATTGTTTTTTAAATCATGCCATCTAAATATTCAAAACATGAAATTTTGTATCTAAGATTCTAATGTATTAGCGCCGCATTTATTATATCCCGATATTGATTGTTTTAGGAGGATAGTTTCGCAATGTAATAGCAGAGATACATCTACTGTTCGTGCAGTCAGTCCAAGGGATAATGAAGGTTTTCGTATTCCAACATCTAAGTCAGCAGTTTGGTCCTCAGGCAACCAGGTAAACTCTAACGTGTTTTATGTGGATGTAGTTTCTTGAATTCTGCAGAAAAGTATACCTGGCATTACCTTGGTATTGTGACTCTGACGTCCGTAAAATCATTTAGGGCACAAAGGTTTGGTCATTTTGTTTGATTTAAAGAAGTTGAGATTTAAATAGAATACTGTAGAGTCAAGGAATTATATACATGTTAAAAATCTTAATTTTTATGTTAATACATAATATATTATTATATATATAATAATTTATTATTATACTTGAAATTTCTGATTATAATGTGGTTTAAAATTTCAGAAGAACGGTTCTTGGGCGAGCGGTCGTACTCCAAGCACAGAGCGCGGGCGTCAATCGCCTATGATGAACAATATGGTTAAAGACGGTGGTGGTGACGGGCCGGCTGGTGGTGGTCGTCGTAATCGCAAACGCACAAGTCGCCGCCGTGCAATCAAGCAATCCGACGGCGCTCAAAATAACCATCCCTCTCATTCGACACATGCTGCTCATCATGTGCCAGGTCTTGCTTCATCTACTTCTACGTCGACCAACTGGCGGGAAGAAATCCTCGAATCTAAAAAACAGGCTACGCATGACAGGTGATTTTACAAGATGTCTTTCAAACTTACATCTTTGAAATATTCTCATAGGCTAACTCAACGTCTTCACCATTGTAATGGGTAATGGGCTTCTTTAAATTACAGAACATGAATTTCAAATATTTTTGAGTCTTCTGTCCTATTCACAGCTGGTCACTTTTGTACCTAATGTGTGATGTCATCTAATTTACTCTTTTATACCGAATTTCACTAAGAAACTCATCAAAAACAATTTAAATCTTATGTTTACATATTATAGATGAAGGTGGAAATAACCCATAATAATAATAGTCCAGGACACTACACAGCGCTATCTCTAAGCTTACCTACAGGACAATCCTACTGTCTTGAAATTTGTTCTGTCTATCTACCTTTTTCATATCAATTTCAAACAATCGTAAGTCAGATTTTTAACTTGACTGATATTTAATAATTCGAACTTATAATTTCTAGGGTTTATAAGACGGGATAGTAAAGCATATCATTGTCAGTACTTTTGTGTTCTAATAAATAATAAGATTTTCAGCTATTGCTATAATTCAATGATTTACTTGTTATGGCGCAAAATAACATAATAAAATTAATTTTTAAATGTATTTTGCAAATTAGTTACAACAACATTTTATGTAATGTTTATATCTATTCTATATTACAGACAATCGGATGGACATTCACAGAGGAATATATTAAACGCTATGTCAGAGAAATCTATATCAGAGAATGCTTCACATCCTGGTTTGATCGTACTCCCTCAAAGTTCTATCAATCATATACACAAAGATCATGGGTTTGTATAGTTCAATTTTATCTTATAAAAATGTATGATTATATAGAAATAAAAATTAGAATAAAAAATTTTTTTCCAGGCGTGTTGGGACCTCAGAAAATCAAAAATTACTATATGATCATCAAAACCCATCTAAACCGATAATAGTGCAAACTGGTTCCAATAAAGGAGATGTAAGAATGGATGGATGTGAGTAAATTTACTGATAATACTTATACATAATTAAAGTTTTATGTTATATAGAAGTCAAATTCTATTCTTATGATGTAGACACTTTGGTGACTCTAGAAAATAAGATATATTCACATAATAATGTATCGGGACTTGATCTCTTTTGCTTTTAGGTCTTCTAGTATTACAAAAAAGATCTGTCAATACAACAAAAAAATCTGTCTTTTGTTAGAGGTCTTAACTTGTAACAAATCAACAAATATTTTTCATAAATATTATTATTGAACTAGACAGTTTGCTGTCTGTTAGTCGTGCAAACTAGCGCCGGTTACTGCATCCGATTGTAAAGTTTGCCTCGATTACATTCTCAGTTATTTGTTTTCATTGTCACTGAATATTACAGCTGTAAACTCATTAATTCAATAAAAACATTACACACACTACCATATATTTGACGTACATCCTTATAGCAATATAGTTATAGACAATAGAACTTTAATACCTTATAATTTAAATAAATTATAATTGAATTTCGACCATTGGGCGACCTAGTATTTATAATTACAATCGGTAGTTTAATTAATTATCGTTTGGGTTTTTATTAATTAGCGACAATTGTTGCGGCTATACCCGAATGTAGTTGTAAAAATAAGGGTGTAAAAGGGATTGTAATTTTATGGTGTTGGTCCTGTGTAGATAATATTTATAATTTAATGTTAAGTAGGAATGTGTAGTTCAAGTAAATACGAGTTAGTACTTAATACTGTTGTTTAGTTTTTTTTACCAAAAAGGATATAATATAAAATACAGTTTAAATTGTTATTTAGTCTTTATAAGTATAATATGAGTAAATATAAAAACATTGGGAGTATTATTAATGAAAAATGATTTAAGTAGTATCTAAATTTGTAGGTATGTTTTTTTGTAATTCTTTATTTTACAGATTATGTATTGAAGGATACATATGACTTATAAAATAAATATGTACAATGGACTTATCCAAAAAAGGGATTCCTTCCCGACAACCAGTAGTTGTAGGTATAGGAATATTCCTAACTTTAATGTAATTAAACTGAGATGGGACTGCAGGCGTGAGGGACTCGGGCCGGTTTATGGGCGCAGGGGGCGGCGGCGGCGGCGGCGGCGGCGGCGGCGGCCTGCAGTACGAGGCCGGGGAGGCGGCGCGGGCGGCGCGCCACCGCACGCTACTGCAGAAAGTGGATCGCGCCGACGCCGTCCTACAGACACACGCTCTACGAGGTCCCCTGGCGCTCGCCGCGCATTGGAACGACGTCGCTGACACCAGGTACGCAATAATCAATCGCTAGAACTATAATAATGATAACTACCCCGGAAAATTCACACAGCGCCCTCTAGTCCCAAGCTAAACAGAGCTTCTGTTATGGGTACTAGATAACCGATATTAATACATAGATATTTTTTGTAAATACATACATAATGTACATATAAAATACCCAGACCGATACAAACAATAATACTTATGAATAAAAATGTTTTACCGTGAGAGGAATCGAACCCACGACCATTGGAAGAAAAGCGGTGTGCTAAACCGTTAGACCACCGAGGCTGTCAATAATATATATTTAATATTAACACTGTTCAAGTATTGTTGTATTTAATTTTAAACAACGGAATATTGACAGCCAATTGTAAGTTATAAAAAGCCATTTAAGTAGATGTATTATTATATAGTTTATACATGCTTTTTTATATATTTAAATAATTTCTGATAATTTCGCAGGTCATTCTTGCAGAATACCCTACATCAGCTTCTTATGTCAGATCTAAAATATTGCCAGTCTGATAATATAGAACACCACTTTTGGAAGATTTTGTACTATAACTTTATAGAAGTATTAAGAAAGAGTTTTTCCCAAGTGTCGCCCGATGATAAGTCCAAAATAGTCCATTTAATAAACATCATCATTGAGGAGGGTAATATTTTCTTCGAAAATCTTGTCCAGATGTTAGAAAAAACTTATAAGTTTAATATTGAAGAGTATATAAACGATAATCATTTATTGCCGCCCAAAGGACTCGGCTACGTGGGTCTAGCCTTGATCTCCGTTCAGAAGCTATATATATTTCTTGGAGACTTAGCTAGGTACAAGGAACAAGTGAATGAAACTAATAATTATGCAAAAAGTAAATTTTGGTACACAAAAGCTCAACAGATAAATCCTAAAAATGGACGGCCTTATAACCAATTAGCTATTTTAGCAGTATATGCGGTAAGTGTCTCAGTTTACTTTTTTTACTCTAATATATATTTATTATTTATTTGTTTGAGTCTGGTAATAATAAATCCTGATTATTTGCAGAGACGAAAATTGGATGCTGTGTATTACTACATGAGAAGTTTAATGTCATCAAATCCATTTAGTTCAGCAAGAGAAAGTTTAATATCCCTATTTGACGAAAACAGAAAAAAGGTATTTGTTTTATAAAAGCATATAAACGTCTTTATTACAGTAATCCACTATTGTTCCATTAGTGGTCACGATTTTCTTCTCTTTTCCGCTACTTTTTGCAGTAAAAAGGTTTAAATTTAATCGTTATTCTAATTGTAAGATATTTGTTAATGTAGCGATCTAATTATTTACTTACAAAATATAAGATAATCTCAGTTTTGAATTACGTACGCTAAATGTTACTGTTAAAAGTAATTTATATAAACAATAGCAAATTTGCATAAATAAAATAACTTATATTTTCAAGAAAGTTTGAATTATACAAAATCTTATCGGGGACTTGCCTTAATTATCATTATTTATTATTTTTTTATTTATTTTGAATGATTATCTAAAAAGTCCTCATGTAGCAAGCTTGAATGGCAATAACTCAGAAAACTTCTGATTAAACTATCACTTAAAATTCAGCTTTTGATAGTAGTATAATATAAAAGTAATTATATAATATAATGTATTTTTTTTTAATTATATATATTCTTTATTGCATTTTTAAATACAAGATTTCAAATAACTAGGTATTAGAAATGTTGTTAGCAAAAGAGGACTTATCCCTAATGTATTATAAGCCATTTTAAACATTTCTACCTCAATGCTGAAGTTGTAATAATATTACATTTATTAGTGTGAGGTGTATACTATACCATTACTATTCTATCATTGAAGTTTTAAGCTCGTAACAAGAGACGTTTTGAAATTTCGTATATAAAAATATTATTTTATTTTATAATGTTCCAACAGTACGAAGCGGCAGAGCGTAAACGAAGAGTGGCTTTAGAGAACTCTCGCAGTGCCGAAAACGGCAGCGGGAATGGGGTGAACGGCGTCCCGGGCGGACTGCGGCGCGAGGTGTGGGTGCGGCCCAGCGGACACCGCACCACCACGCTGCGCCACCACGCGCCCGACGACCGCCTCGCTACTATGACCTCCGTCGAGGTACCATCGTATTTATAAAATACCTATTACTTGTTTTTACACGTACGCTCTTTCAGAACGAAACGTGCAGTTTAGGCTAAGAATAAGAAAAATATAGGTTTGGTTAGTTTAGTTTACTTTGAAATAAACTAATATATAAATATTTTATCCAATTAGATAAAATTTAGATAAAATCCGTAATCTCTTGGTCAGCTTAATATTTATCATCTAGAAAAAATAAATGAGGCTAATTTTAAGGGGTTTTCATAAATTTGTTCTGGGTGATCACCTTCTGTTTACATCATCAGATCAGCTAATGGTATACATAAATGTATCACCTTAGTTGAAAAATATCAGAAATTTACATAGAAATTTGCAAGTTATATAAAATCTTGTAAAAATAAATTAATGTGAGTGCATATCAAACTGTAGTGTATTCAGTACTATTTAGAATTTTGTTTTGTTGCAGTTGAATAAAAACTTCATTACTAGTTATTTGCACGTGCACGGAAAACTCTTCACAAAAATTGGGTAAGTCGGTTATTTATAATATTAGAACAAAATTGAATATTCAATAGAATAGGTCAATACAATTCCGGAAAAAAATAGACATAGAATAAAATAAAGCGTCAGTAATATTTTTAAAAATCGTAATTAAGTGATGTCCTTAAATACAGACAATTCAAACTAGAGTATATTTAAAATAAACCACAGCGAGAAATATTGGTTTATAGCATATATAATCTATCTCTTATAAGTTATAATACACTAAAATAGTCTATAAATATAAGATCAGATTCAATCTTCTTGCAAAAAAATATTCTCCTATCTGTATGCCATCAAACTTATACTACACTCTTGTTAACATTTTTCTTTTTTCCTCGTTCAAAGATTAATGGACAGTAACGCCGGTAAACAAACTGCCCCTACAGTGGCCATTCCTTTTTATGTATATATTACCAATAACTGACTTTTATATTGTAAAAAAAATACATATAATATATAACTACCTAAGTTATCGCATCTTCAAAACAGGGTTTTGTGTATAAATAAAACAAGGCAATTTATCACACAACTTTATTAATATTTATTGCAGCAATTAATTTTATAAAAATAGTTTTTCAAATTTATTTATCCATATCTTATTTATTTCACTATAACAGGTCCATTCAATCCTACACTATGATATAAACGCATGTTAATTTCATTTGCTGTATTTACTTCACAATATTTACATATTTTTAGAAATAGTTTTACCTATTTTCAATTCTGATAAAAAGTATTGACTTAATTCTGAACTAAAATAATAAAAATATTGATCTATCAGTCTTTACCTTTAAAGACATGCCAAAAAAATACTAGTTTTTATTACCTAAGTTTTTATTTACATCTTGTAGAAGGATATTTATAAAAGTGATATTCTCAGCATGGAAACTTTCCACGAAAGTGCCAGTGAGATGTTACGTCAGTTTCGCGCGCTGTTGCATCGGCAGCCACTACCAACTCCAGCTGCCCGTCTCCTACAACTCACCGCACTCAATATGTATGCCGTTGAAACTACTACTTCCTCACTAAAAGGTACTGTACTCGTTAATTTAAGAATTAATATGTTTTACATCAAATGTGCCTCGTAGCAGATAGTCGCTGGCATTATACTGGTCAACCAGTGCTAACCTAATCTTTATGATCTTTCCATCTAAGCAATCGAATACTGATGAATAGAAGATTAAATTGTTTCGCATTTCGATCGTTCACTTGTTTAGACAGATTAATTATATATGAACAGAATGACTAATTTCATTAAATGACTTACGACTACAATATATATGTTAGATTTGCATCTGGATCAGTATGAATGCTAGAATTCTATTTATAGGTATATTTATATCGATTTGTTTGAGACATACTGATAATCCGTAGAAATTTGTCGAATTTCTACAGGTATCAGTCGTCGGCCTATCTATACTTACGTCTACCACCAACTTTGTGTTTACTTCTCACATAGTTTGATATCCAATCAGTGACAGGGTCGAATCATTTCTACAAATGCATCCAAGTTGGACCACGTAAACCTAACACTTGAGCCCTCAGAAATCACGTTCTGCAAGAGGTAACGCAACGTACAACATAACAAAATACTGAGCGTTCCTAAAGAAGCAAAGTAGAAAATTGAAAAAATTTAATCTTCATACGACACACAATTTACTTGATCATACTATACATATTCTATGAAAAGTGCAAAATTTATTTTCTTTTTTCAACTTTGTTATCATGAAGAGTATTATATGTGATTTTGAACTTTGGTTATACCCTTTTCGGCTAACGTTGTGTTAGCTATGGTAATCACTTTGTATTGCTGCTGCAGCTTATTGCAGTTGACAGTCAGCTGGTTTGCCATTTCAGTCACAAAACATGTACAGTATAAAACGTTATATTTCTAAGCAGAACTTTTCCTAGTTTATTGTAACCACCAACAGGGATAACAATCATGAGGTATAGTCATTGTTATTATTATTATATACGAACATAGATGTTTTACCGTTAATAACTTAATTTATTATTTTGCCCATTATAATTAACGATGGTTAATGAATTCTATATTAAAGATGATTGAATAGCATCGTTATAAAACTTAATTGAAAACCTGTTCACATAAATGCCATTCTAAGTTACAGTATTTTTAATATTTTTTGTTAATAAATGATTTATCGTTCTAATTTATTATATTCGTAGTTTTTCCTAGTTACTATCCTCATGCTATTACATAGCATACTGAGGAACTTCCGTAGTCGATGTCGTTATTAACAATTTTTAAATCCATTCTAAATACTACCTGTTTTTAACCGATAAAAAGGAGGAAGAGCCTCTTTAATTTGACTGTATTTTTTTTAGAAATTTTTACACGAGCCGATTTTGAATATTTACTTTGAAAGCTTATAAATTTTGTCTAATTTTGACCTGTTTTTGAGTTATTCATATTGAAATTTTTGCATCCTGTATACTTGTAATTATAGATAGTACTCTGTTCAAGCCACTAAAAATACATTTCAATCGCATTATTAAAGAGAGTTTTGATCAAATTTATATGGGCTCCAAGAGAACCATCAGCTAAAATATATTAATTTAAGGGGGTCTTCCTATGTGACGGCAGTATTTAGGATTTTTTTTCTACGACCAGTAAATATTTAGAGCTTCAAGTTTTTTATCATTTATTAACACATATTTGGACAGTATAAATATAAAATTTCAGCTAAAAATATTCAGTCAAACTAGAGTTACAGCGCTCTGAACACCCCCGCCTCGAAAAAAAGAGCTCCCACTTCCTCCACGATTCCGGCTGATCGGCTTATCTGAAAAAAAAAAAAAAACGGCGTTTTAATTTGTAGGCTTAAAAGCACGGAATGACCTATAATCAAATGAATATAAAAAAAATTGGATTTTTGATAGACATTTGAAATAAAAGTTGCAAATTAGGCGTTTTTTTTTTTTTGTTTTTTGCTATAAAAAAATCGAAGTTTTGAAAATTTTCGATTGATAATAGTTCATTCCATGCGTTTACATATATTGAGTGTGCCCTGTAAATTTCAAGTAATTCGGTCCAGCCGTTTCTGAGATACAATGGAGGAAAGTTTGAAAAACACAGTTTTGAGAAAAACGCGTTTAAAGTTTCAAAGTCCGTTAAAAACTATTAAAATATCAACTTACTCTCAATCGGCGATGCCTGGTCCATAGAGTATTCCTTCCTCTTCCTCGTGAAACTCTTTTAAAGCAGATTGTTCAGCTCTTGAGTCAATCCTGGCTTGTTTAACGACATCACTTACGCGCCGCTCAGAGCGTAAGATTCGCTTTTCATCCCGTTTCTCAACATACGCTTGGGCTTCACGACCAACAGGGCATCCCATAATCGACATAACTTTTAAAATACCTTGAAAACCTTCATTAAAGATAATAACTGCTAAGTAGCTAGCAATTTCAACAACTTTGGGACCAGAATGAAGATGTTTAGGAGCGAAAGTCCAAATCAAAGAATTCAAAGATTCGTTATTGTTTTGTGTCTCTGCTCCTAAACAACGAATTAATAATTCGTCTTTCGATAAATCTTCGAAAACCGGTTTGATAGCTTCTTGGACTTGCGGAATTAGAGGTGGTTTATCGTGATGAAATTGGTCCAGTTCATTATTAGCTTCAGCCTTACGCCATTTACACCAACTGTCTTCGCCTTCTGGACAAAATTGATGCTGAGGGTTTTCATCAGAAGAACATTTGTGATAGTACGTTGCCCAAACTTCCTTTCTCATATCTTCAAGCGAATCTGGATGGCGTCGAATTGCTAATTCTCTCTTCGAAGTTCAACCAAGACTAAAATAACTTCGGTAAAATATTATAACAATATAAATTTCTGTTTAAGTCTGTAGAAACGTGTCTAAACTTGTATAAACAAATATATTAATAAAAGGGAGGCCAGGTATAAAGCCGACGGTACACAATAGGCCCGGTCTCTAACTGCCAACTCACCGCTTCGAACCGCTCTTTCTTTTACCTGCTGTATCTTTAAAACGACTTCGCATTTTCTAAAATCGCTTTACTACCGTATTCTAGACATGTTAAGGGAGCAATTTATGAAAAAAAAAAAATCGATTTTTTCAACCCATCACATAGGAAGACCCCCTTAATTTGGTACACCTAAAAAAAATCAGAGGTATCACCCAAAAAAACACAGTCGAATTCAGAACGGCTCCTTTTTTTTGAAGAATTTTGAAAAAGGCAGATAATTTCCTTGTTCAAACAACTTAACAAAAAGGGACCGGCAAATTTTTATGATGATTAATTTAATAATTTATGGGTCTATTGTTAATTTTTAACTAATAAATTTAAATATTAATCAAATAAGGTATTTATCAAGAAAGCTTTTTCTTTAGAAAAAATGCGTCTCAAAGTGGTTCCATCAAATTGCAAAGTTTACTAGTGGCGCCGAACGATTTATTGCCTGTACGTTCGTAATAAGTGAATAACGACAGTCACTGCTCGATTAAACAAAAGAAAACTTTATTACTGTAAGTGATATTTTAAACGAAAGACGATGCTCTTTGCTTATAGTTGTCCGCTTTTTATTGAAACGAGTTTTGCGACATTGTTAGATGGATTGCAAAGATTGTCCCTTGCCGTTTATGTTACGCGTATTTGCTTATGTAGTGTAAAACGAATGTAATTTAAATTATTTTGTGTTTATATAATATGATGATAATATAAATAAGTTGTATGTTTTCGATTTACTAAATTAATATGAAGTGGGCATGTAAATGCGGCTATTTCCTGTGACGCCGTCCGGACGCAGTAAAGCTTTGTAATTACAAATTACAAGTTATCGAAGGTTGATGCACTACACTCACGTCGGCACTGCGATGCTGCGGTACTGTGAACCGCTTGTGCTGCGTCCGTGCATCTCACAAATGCGCCTATGACGAGGACAGGTTCAACAAACTGACTCGGCTACGCGACGGCTTCGGCACGGCGACGGCTACTCTTTTACGCCATTATACATAATGATGTTTTGAATTATTAAAGTGAAATTATGGCGTTCGGGAACCTTAATTGCACTATGTGAATATGCCCTTTGGCAATGTACAGTAAATGGAAAATTGCAGAAAACATCTCAGGATAACGTTCGGACACTAAATAATATTATGTTTTATTGTAGGTTAGTCCCTAACTCTTTTTGTAATCATAGAAAATAGATGACTTCCATTTATTATTTACGCAAAAATATAGTTGTTTATAAAGTGTCCTAAAGATTCGATTGGATAAATAAATAGTCACTATCTAGATAACGAGTAATAACGTGATATCAAAACGATGCGTGTATGTATAGGTACATGCGCAGATATCGGGAGAGGTTGTAAGTGTATTTGCAGGTGCAATCCATGATATTTTTAGCAACATCTATTTATACCAGACCGGCTTTGCGTCTTCAACTAGCTGTCGGTCATCTTCCACTGATGGAAACCGAGGACGTCCCATAATCATATTTCACTTGTACGGCCGTTTTATTCATTTTCAGTACTTGTTTCTCCATCTTACCATGATCCGGAGAAACCTGTCCTCATACAATTTCAATTGTTTCCAGTATTCTATTATGTAGAATAATATTTCTCTTTGGCAATTTTATGTATAAGATAGACACATAAGATATAGTTCTAATTAAATTTATAAGATGAGTAAAAGTTTATCGAATTACACCTAGATACTTTAGGAGTAGAATTTAAATATTTTATTTATTAAAATACATTTGTATATTTTTATCTATGTATACAAAACAGCTTTACTAATGTGTTGTATATGTAAAATTGAGTTTGTTTGTTATCTCTTGAAAGGAAAAACTTTCTTATTCCGATCAATGATTACAAATCAGACTCCCTAACGAAGTTTTGGGGAGATATTAATAGAATAATAAAAAATATATATGAGACATATTTAAACAGACGGAAGCAACAGCGGCAAACGATCAGCGTGGCTTGATTGTGCATTGGGAGTGTCGCTGCTGATGTTCGGCGCGTTGCTCGAAAGATGTTGCGCGCTGCTTCCCGAGCCTGCACATACGCAACACCACACCGACGCACTGTTGCTGCTGCCTGCTATCAAGGTCCTTATTACGATAATTTTGTAAAACTTTTCTTTGAAGCTAAATTATTTACCAAAAGTAATGATAAATAATACACACATCGCTATTTAAACACGAAGTACGCACAATTTATAATATAGGTTCTTTGAAAATTAATTCCACAGTTTGTACAGTGTTCTTACGAGTCCTTACGAATGGTAATACATATAGGATATGCATTACTACTCTTGAGAACTAAGGTACTAATATAATGTGCTTCTTTTTGGGAAAAGGTTGCGTTGTTTTTTTAGTTGTTTATTTTACATTTTAATAAAAATTAAATTACTTTAAATACATGACCAATTTTAATTAATAAGACAATTCAAACAAATTTCTATTTCACGGTGGAATTAATTAAATTGACTGCTATATCTTCATATTTGTTATATGTTAGATGTAATTATTTGTTACTACATGTTATTAAACACATTGTTCTTTATAGGTGTGGTCCGACTGGATGCTATGTCATAGCAGTATATGGAATCCACCACCAGAATTGAATAATTTCGAAATGGAGTAAGTGTAATTTACTTTTAAAAATATTTTGTAAAATTGCTTATTCATTTTCAGCCAATTTTTTGTACTCTTTTACCAAATGTAAAAGGGAAAAAAAATTTGCTAATTTATGCAACAGGTATGAGATCAATCTTGTACTGAGTGGTGAGACATTTAATTTCAGTGTGAGAGTGCACGAAACGCAGCCAGTTTGAAATATTAATCAATTACCAACGTTCGTGAACTCTTTGAGTATTTGTGGACTCTTTAATCATTGTTTGTATATTATAATGCTTTCATGTATTCAAGTCTTAAAAAAAAACATTTTAATGTTTTTTATTTATCTTATTTATCTGTTCTGTTGCCTAGTCGTTCTAGATTGTCATAAATGATTAATTACGTAATTTTTATTTATTTTTGTCCAGAAGCGAGAACGATCCATGGGATTGGCTTGCGAAGCTTATGAATATCCTTGAAGCTCTTGATGACAAGTCAATAGAATTGGAAAACGAAGTAGTTGAAGGTAAGATACTATTAGTATAAATGTATAGTTTTACAATGATTTTGTAATATCTCAGTCACTTTTTCACGTTTGAACTGATTTGGTGTATACCAAATACAAATCACCTGTATAGGTGAACTTAATATTATATGAATAAATTTAGATATTGATGATTTATATTTTATATTTTGGATATTGATTGAATGTTTTATAGCTGTTATTCTAATTAATTGTAATTTTCAATCCTTTATGACAGAGCTAAATTCTTCTTAATGATAAAACCGCTGTCTCGCAAATGGTAACTTATATCAGGTTCTACTATAATTGAATTCGCAGTTTTTTTTGGCGTGATGTGGAATTTATTATAAGGATCGTATCATATTACGTGTTGCACTTATTGGGTCTACGCCCCGTTATGTAGCAGGTTGTCGGCCTTGAAGGCCATGGATTGGACGAATCGGCGTTATACACTCTGTAATTCGAAAATTGCTGTCTAATAAACTTGCCGAACGTGTGATTCGGAAAAAAAGTCATTTTTTTTTAAATTTTTATGCTATTTATATACTTCGGTTTTATTACAGTACTATTTACATTACGATAGCATTATTTTCTTATACAATATTGTGTAATATATCAATAATAAATGCAATTCATTGTGTAGGTTACGTATCGATCCGTCTCGCGGAAGACGCGTCGCTGGGCGGATTCACACCGCTGATGTACATGGAGCCAGCTATAGCGTGGGTGCGACATGAGCCAGCCGTGCAACAGCACGCTGCCGAGCATGCGTTGCGACTTAGAAAATTGCTGTTCTTTGGTACCGAGTAAGTAATCTATACATATAAATAAAATAGAAGTGTCTGTTTGTAATATTGAAATAACAGTTTTTTATTACATGCATATGAATATAAATACGGTACATACACCACATTAACATTTTTTACAATTTTTGTCTGTCTGTCTGTTTGTTCCGGCTAATCTCTGAAATGGATGGACCGATTTTAACAAAATTTTTTTGGCAGGTAGCTAATATAATAAGGAGTAACTTAGGGCACTTTTATTTTAGATGATTTTATTTTAGAAAAATAAGGCAAGGTTAAGATAAAAAATGTCAGTAATATTATATGTCTCGTTCGTTAATATACATGCGGTAGTACTTAGAATATACGAACAAAATAACTATGGATACACAATGCTACGCAGAGTCGAGATAAGCAGAATCTATAAATGTGCTGCTATAATATTGCCTAGGATAAAAGGTAAACCACGCTCAATACAAGTTAAACCTAAACCTTCACTTGCAAGGGGTTTTTAATAGATGTTTATGGAATGATACACTCGCATACGCTAACAGTAAATGTAGTATGCATGTAGTAGCGGGCCACCAGTGGATAATGATAATACGAGGATAAAGTTAGATCAGTGAAACCATAGTGGTGAATTCAACAGAAGGTCATCACGGTGCTTGTTGCCGTTACCACACCACGGTGCTTGTTGCCATTACCTACAATCCTCCCCTGTACAATGTTATAAAAGTGAATTGTGTTCAAAACAACAAATTTTTCTTTTATATAGGTATCTAGTGGGAGTAGAGCCGCCCGTCTTGCGGCTGGAGTATCCAACCAGCGCTCCTCCGCGATATGTCAGCGCTGTGCAGCGAGCGCAACCTCTTAATCCGCCCCTGCAACATTTGGTAAGCTCCAAAAGATTACAAATAATATACCGCCAACATCATTGGCAGTGTACATTGTCTTATGACATTCACGATGTGAAAATGAGTACTATTCACACTTCACTACATTCAACAAAGCCCTGGATAGTTGTGTCGCATGTTAGTAATAAGATACTGTTTGAATATATCGGTGATATTGATTTTGGATAAACATATAATTTTAATTATATTGTATAATAAAGTGGTGCAGGGCTGCTGTACTCAAGTAATTTGTTTATAGTTTACGATACATCATACTCATTATAATTTTGGTCGTTACTAAAATACTCGTAAAATTCATTACACTTCACTAAGAACCTTTACGATTTTATACCCTGTTATCAGAGATCATCACAATATTTTATCATATTAACGGGTTATATAAAGAAGCAGTAATATTTTATGGTGCATACTTTGTCTACGTAAATTGTATACTAACTAATTACAGACAAGAATGCTTTATATTGTACCTATTATGGATAGCTTGTCATTATTATGATATATAAATTGCCTGTTTGCTTGCTCTATATGTCAGAGTTATTTATAATAAATCACACAAAATGTTTCGTTCTTAATAAAACTGACGATTGTCTTGCAGTCGGAAGACTCTGAAGAAGAGGACAGTGTTAGTGCAGCGCCGAGCGAGTCAACCTCTCTCACTGACGGACTCGAAGGCCCGGAAGGCGCGGACGAGACCACTCTCAGACTGTTACGCCGTAAAGAGCAACTGGAGTCTAGAAAAGCTACTCTCGACAGGCGCCGGGAACGTATGCAGGTGTGTGTTTAAATTATTTGAAAGTTAAGTCTAATAGCGCAAGAGTCCTCTGAATTGTCAAACTCTTGAGACACCTAGTAGTGGAATAATAAATATAGAAGATACATAGATTGATTGAATATTCTTTATTTGCATTGCATTCTACAATGATAGAATATAGGTATGACTAATTAATAAACTAAACATATATGTATAGTTACGACAATTCGGCCTTTTTGCTGAAAACAATGTTTTCAAGACAAAATTACGAGTAACATTAGGAAATAGTGGGTAACATTCAAATAGGAATAAGAATGAATAATAATATAATTAACTAATTTACTTAAATAATACACAAAATATAAATATAGTGCAGTAAAGGACTTCAGCCTATAGTAATTATTTCTTAAAAGTTTTAAATATACCCAAAATGTTCTCAAATTAAAATATTAAAGTATACAATCGTTAAAATTTAACATTATTATACATATATTGAAGTAATCCGCGATTCTATTCTGTTCATATACATTGAAAATTAAATTCGTTTTCATGAATAACAAAGATAAATAAAATACCAATTTAATAGTAGTAAAATAAAAGGAAGTAATAAATTACTAAATTAAGATTTATATATAAATCTTAATTTAGTAATTTGTTAATTAACAACTATGTATTCTATATTTGCATGATTCGTATTCTCTGTATTATTGCATTAGATTATGCCATTTATGTGGTCTGGCCATATTAGTCATATGTTGCCTTTTCCTGGCTTTATACATGTTACAATGAAATAGGAAATTACATATTTATGAACACCTGGCATCTTATTTAATATTGTTAACCGGTTTTATCTAGATATTAGAAAATGCCTTAAGTCTGAGAAAAGCTGTCTCTCCATCCATCTCCATCATGATGTCCATCTCCGTCCGGAGATGGACATCACCTATACAGTACAGCGGTATTGCGTGTTGTATAGAATTTATGTAAAATATTACATTTTCGAAAACATTAAATTATTTATGAGTATGTGTGATATTTAAGAGGGCGCTTTCTATAATCCAGGAAACACAGCAGCTACCTATAAATGTTCACTCTTTTTTGTTTTTGATTGGCCTAACTTCCTATGAATGTATCTGTTTGGGATGCTTCATTATTAATAAAGTCAATTCAGTTTTAGCTTGAATAATATTATGGTAAATAGTTCTTTCGATATTTCTGTTAGGTTGCAACTAGCTGTGTTCATGGACTGACTGTAGTAGAGCTACATTATGTCATAGATAAAAGCAAATAAAATATTACCTGTGTTTATTGTCATTTAAATGAAAGTGGATTATTGATATAAATGTAACCAATTAAAAACAATTGTTTTATATCCTAGGAAATATTGGGCGGCGGTGGAGTGAGCGTGGAAGTGGAAGTACGACCACGGTGGTTGGTTCCTGATACCAACTGTTTCATCGACCATCTGCCGCTACTACAGTCTATTACGGAGGCATCCACACAGCCATATACTCTGGCCGTACCCCTTGTTGGTGAGATGTTTTTTAATTATAAATATCTTTATTACATTGCTCAGAAGCTTTGATCATAATGTAATCCAATCCATTAAATTAATTATTGACTACACAGTTATTTAGATGTTACAAATAATAATGATTGTATACAGGAATTTAATTAAAAAAAAGTAATTATATACTGAAAAAAAAACAGCGATACTTTTCGTACATGTATACGTAGTATACCATATACATGTAGTATCCCATAGTATGACTATTTATTCATCAATACCATGTTTCTAGATATCGCTGGCAACGGTAACGGTAACAACTGAAAGAATGTTTTTGTACTAGTGATGACGGAGCTAGAGGGTTTGAAGAAGTGTTCGCGCGTGGGAGAGCGGGCGAGTGCGGCGTTGGCATGGGTATGCGCGGGCGGTACGGGGGGTGCGGGGGGTGCGGTACGACTGGCCACTTCCCTCGGCAACTTACTCTCTTCTCGTGCATTCACCGCTGAAAGGGACCATTCCCGAGCAACAAACGATGACCGTGTTCTGGCCACTGCTGTTAATTTGCACACCAATCTCGCCACGGAAACTGGTAAGTATTTTGGGTGTATTTTATTTAAAAGAATACATGTTTGTTATGAATTGTAGACCTTGTAAAAAGTCGTCTGCATGGTTACTTCAGCTTCATCTTTTACAGCCTGCTTTCTGAGTTGTGTTGGTTGAATGATGAGATAAATTATTAAATTTGGGGTAAGAAGCATGACAATAGCAACTCATGTGTTGTCTCAACCCAGAAGACTAAGATCTAGTATCACGGGTGTCACATGATTTTACCATTCCTGTTATATTAAACATGTCAACACGCAGTGTCACTTCACAATATATTCTGTTTATGAAATTAAGTCTGTTTGAAGAAACATCTTAATTATTTGCGTTCTGTTTTTGCGAGTGAATATTCATGAATAGGACGAGAATAACAGTGTTTAATTTTATTTCTCCCAAGGATAATAATAAGGTGCTTTGAGCCCTATAATAGCTGTAGTTATAATTCACTTTCTGAATAGGTGCAGTTAAAGAGGTGTTTAAGTATTTAATAACTTTATCGTGAAAAAACAATCTTGTATTTAACAAAAATATCAACGCCAACAGAAGGGTCGCGTGCTGTTAATGTGTCATACAATTTCAATATCACAAGAACTTATGTGTGCTTGTGCTAAGTAAATTGTAATAGCACTTGCACAATCTTATTATTGAGCTTATTAAAAAATAGCCCTGTACAGACTGTATCAAATCCTAAGGCTGTCGAAACACAACATTAGGATTTGATGTAGCCTATAAGTTTTAAATTAATCATAAGATCTGCGCTTTAGAATGGTTACAAAAATCTCTACACTGGACTAGAGATTTTCCATTTGATCAGCCAAGTAATTGCGTAATATATATATGCATGCATTTATGCATAATATATTGTGTTGCACTATATTTTTATCAATAGGCTTAGATAGAGTAAACAGGCTCTTCCTCGAGTTTAGTCGATCCTTGCCCCATCGGAATTTAATGTAACAATATCCTTTTGTAGATACACGAGTTGATGACGGAAGTGAGTCAAAATTCGTAAAGCGTGTACGCGAAGTGGTACTACTGACCGATGACCGCAACCTCCGCGTGAAGGCGCTGGCGGCGGAACTACCGGCACGCGATTTGCCCTCCTTCATACAATGGGCTAGTCTGACTAATACCGATGCTGATACGGTTTGTCTTTTTTATATTAATGTTTTTCAGCAGACCTTTTTGAGCATTCAAATGGTTTTTGAAATGTAAAAGTTAGTCAAATATGCCCCTAAATAAGGTGCTGCTTGCTACGTTTGGCATTGCTGTTTTGTTTGCCTTTGTTTGTACTTAATTGTGAGCAAATTAACTGAGCTTACAGTTTTAGTCTCCAACAAGTTTAGCGTAAAATGGAAGTTTTAATTTTATTCAGATTTTGACGGCCACGGTGTTCTAGGAGATTTTTACACTGGCTCATTTCCGATAATCGCAGGATTCCTCACATAATGCAGTAAATAGTATTCAAGAGTATGATTATTTGTTGTGTCATTCTGAATGTGTTCTTCCCTAGAACATACATACATATGCATGTATTTCTATATGGACATCCTAGTTGTCTGGTACTAGCTTGTATTATACAAGCTCTGCTTAGCTTGGGAGTAAATGGCACTGTGTGACTTGTTACAAGAAAAAAAAGAAAAAATTCTACTGTTTAATACTCGAAACTATAAAACTGAAACTATGTTTGTGAGTAATAATTATTTTAAATGCAGTCATATGTAATTTTTAATGTAAATATTCGATTATTCCGCAATTAAATATTATAATATAAGTTTTGTTGCAGGCTTCATCGGTGGCGTCCGGCGACAAAAGCAATGCAAATAATTGATCCACTGACGATTACAGTCATCTGGAATCGTCCGATAATTTTTCAGCTATTTTAATGTTAACACGACATGCAATGTGACTTAATTTTTTGGGAGAGATTAGTGCTTAAATGATATCTGTTTGTATTCGACTGCCGGCCATGCAAGCTGGCAACACGAGAATGCGCGTATAATTCTAGTATAGGAATTGACTAGATTAAGTAAAACTTTAATACACCAATAAACAGTCTAAATAATATTAAAGTAAATTTTGTGAAACGCTTAAGGATCTAGCTTTATTTTCTTGAGTAAATTCTTTTTTATTATTTTTCTTAATTTTTGTTTTTATGCTACTAGATGAATCGTACATTTAATGTTAGTGAACTATTTTTATTTACTTATTTTGTAACATATTATGTATATTTTTTATTATTTTGTAGGTAGGTAATAGTAACAGAATATCGTGAATAAACTGTTACTTTTTGACATGAAGTACAGTTGTATGGTAACTATTTCCTAAATTAATTAAATAGCTTAATGACACAGAATCATTAAATAAGGACAAAACAGCATTATAATAAAATAAAGTGTATCATCATATATATATCAGTAATTTATATTGTACTGGAATTAAATAACTATCTAATGAATATTAGACGCGTAGTTTTGATAGCAATTATAGTTTATCGGTGAATTTGCATGAACCCAGTAAAGTTTTTCGTGCCATCGGTGCCATTGGCATGTTTAATAAATTTAAAATTACTCGGTGTGAATTGAATGCTATCTTTTATTAATATAATAATGTTTTGATAACTCTGAGATTTATGAATTGGCTATTTAGTGATTGTATTCACAACTCTTTTCGTAAGTTGAGAAATCACATCTTGTTAATTGTCACATTTCAAAATTGTGTTAACTTGTTAGATACAAACAAGGTCATTTCATGTTTTGATACGAGTTTATATAGAATTTATCTAAACAATTATACGAATTGCGTATTTTAACTTAGATTATACAAATGCTTCTAATAATGGAAATAAATTGCCATTATTTTTGAATATTTGTTAAAATGATTAGTTTAATGGAGTAGCATATTTATATTTGCAGTACAAACTTAGACTTCATATTCAATAGACAAATAATACATAGTGTTGAATTTAGAGCTGATTGGTATACACGGACAGCTTAACAAACTTTTTATTATATACATAATCGATCTGATGATATAAATAAGAATATATTTACAGGGTTAATCGTAAAGCATATACGAAGCCGAAACTTTATTGTAATGTTCCTGAAACTAAATAACTTTCCCCAAAGAACAAAGCGTAATCTCGGAAATTAAGTTTGAATATTTCTTACTAAATATTTTTTATTTTGTATGAAGTGTCCAAACTTTATCACATTTTAATTTTAATTTTGGTGAAAGTAATTAAGTTTTAAGAATACTATCACTAACATTCAAATTGGTATACGGCTGACCTTGTATATTAAATTGATATATATATACATATATATGATAAGATCTATAATTTTACACATCTACACATTATTTTGCGTTATAGATAAAAGTAAAAAAAATATATAAAACAGAATATAATAAATATTGACTACTATATAGTGATAAATATTTTAAAATGTTCATTTTTAATTTTTGAAACAAATCATGCTGTTACTTTTGTCTTAATCATGACGTTTTAATAAATATTGAATTACCATAAAATCTTCGAGTATTTAATATGCCGCAATCCCGTCCCTGTTCATTAAGTTATTAATGTTTACATATTTGTATCTATTGCAATTGCGCCATGGTTATGTACTGAATGTCTTTAGTGACACGACACGCGAAGACTTGCCCAATAATATAATATGCATTAAGTTAATCAAATTCTAATACTGTTCAGCACGATGATAAAGAAGGTCAGGGTAACCTCGACAGTAAAAATTGTCAATGCAGGTAATTGTAAACGGTATATTGAATTATCATTACGCGTGGAATAGTAGAATATTTACCATAGCCAAGAGGATAATCCACGGGCGGCAATGAAGTAAAGGTTGTTTATTAAATCGCATAATCAAATGAGATTTCAAAGGACTTGTGTATTTCTTATTAGAAGCTTGCATTATTAAATGAGCTTCTTTATAACATAATGAATAGTAAAATCTATTTACGGTCGTACGAGTGAGAAATTCCGATGTTAAGACCTGAGCAATGGGAATTGGCAATGTTCCGAGGCGAGGCTAGGTGCACCGGTGCCGAGGTTGTAAAACCACCGTTATACTTATTTACCGTGCGCATCTCGCTTTAGGCGCTGTGTTAACTTATTTACCAATCTATACCTATGTGATGGATGCACGTTCGCTTTGTATGAAGCTTTACTCGTAAGTAGAAAAACATCGTGTGAGTCCAATTCATTTTTGTACTTTACGTACTCCTTATTATTTATATTAGTTATATATTGTCTAAGTCCTATGATTCTAGTATATTTTTATTTGCTGTGTTTACCACAAGTAACATTTACCTAATAATATAATAGATGTCATTCGATTCATCTACTTCTGTCAAGTTAATATTTTTATATCCACGAATAACTTGTAGTCCATTAATCATTTACCAAGTTAATTATGAATATGTATAATAGTTACATAAATAAATATATTATAATGAATCTATTTAATTCTATTACTCATTGCTTTGTACAAGGGGGTTTCCATTGGCACGGGGTAGTTTATGATTTAGATTAATTGTGTTATGTACGTCATATTTATTATTACTGGTTATGACGACAGATAGTAGATAACCAGTAGCTGCGTCACGAATACTTAGTCACTATTAAGTATTCGTGACGTTGCTTCAAAGATATGCATATTGGTTTATCCCATATCACATTAAATATTATGTGACGTAGGAGTTAATTGCATTTTCCTTAAATGTCACAGAATAATACACATATCAATTTATATAAATCTTTGCATCGGCCAGGCCATTTTCTATATCTATATATAATACATAGGTATATGTATTACAAAAATAATATTTAGGTATTTGTATCATTTGACTAATACACAACAATAGATCTGCTTAGCTTGTACTAGGTTATTATTATTATTATCTATATTATTCAGTGATGTTAAAACCAACTGGTTTTGTACAAAGAAACTAATAATTACTTTATAATTTTCTTGAAATAGGTGATGGTATTATTTAATTAATATCACAGTTAGTTTTTCATGCCTACCCTATAAGGATCTGACGTGATCTTACTTTATAGTTACGATTCATTCATGTCTTATAGATGTACCTAATGATTAATATTCATTTAATAATGATTCCTTAAGTTGATTTAGGAAAGTAATTTCACACATTGAAATGACAATAAATTAATTCCTTCAATTAAATATTTAAGGGAGTAAACAAATTTAAGTAAGATAGATTTTACAATTATTATACACATTTATTACACTGTAAAGGAGTAACGAATGGGGAGAAATGAATTTGTTTTCGTATTTATAATATTTATCTATCTAATTTGGTCCCATATTAATGTTATGCTTTTCAAATACCTAAGATCATTGTAGGTAGGCGCTTTCGACTTTTTTTCTAGATACACAAAAGTAAAAGTTTCATATGTGTCTGGAAATGTCAAAAAAAATAATCTTTTGAATAAATATTTTTAAACCACCGACGCAAAATTATTAACTGTTAATTTTTTTGTTTGAATGTGGATGTGATCAATATTCAGAGCTACATTTTATTTATTTATACTTTTAACCTTATAATTATTTACATGTTCTGTATTTGTTGACTATGTTATTCTCACTCATTACATGTACTTATGTGCGTGCTTGCGACGCAACTAGGTGCGAGCCGCGATGCTGCGTTTGCTTTTCATTTGTATCATTAGTACTCACTCGTGATTGAAGCAATCAGCTTTTATAGCAAAAGATATGATATCCCGGAAGGTCTGCCAGTTTGGAGTTAGTGAAGAAACCATTATTACATTAAATGTGAACTTAGCCGGTGTAGTGTCCTCTCCTTTACCACTATAAAGTGAGCTTCGAACATAAAATTACCCCATAAACTTGCAATTAATTAAACAGCGTCACAGTTCTGACATTAGGAAAGGAATATAAACATAAATCAACTGATAGCCAATAAGGAAATCAGTATATTGGAATGTTTTTCGTACAAATATTTAACTGGCTGTTACGTGTGACTTCGTCATAATTTTTTGAGAATAAAGATAGACAAATTTCATAATTATCCATTCAGCCATTTGTCGCGAAAAGGAACCAAACAAATGGACATGACATGCTTTCACATTTATAATGTTAGTATGGATGGATGGACTTTGGGGTGAGGAAAAGGATGAAAATTTAAACTTAATTCTTCCAGTCGTTTTATCGTGTAACCCAGGAGCGTAACATAGAAGTATAGTTTGTATCTAATCTCAATTTTACAATATTACCATGTAATGATTTTCTGTAGCATGATATTACGTCAATTTAATTTAGTACCTGTATCTATACCTTAATTTCAATTGAAATTTCTAAAATGTACTATTTAATTCTGAATAAGATTTTCGTCAATAGCAGTCATTACTATGCGTTATCTCATCTTCGCACTTTGAGAGTACATGTTAGACAATTACATGCAAAACAGCATACGTGTAGATAGGCACGCGGTCTCCGACGTCCAGCTTTAATGTTGTGTAACATAACACGATAATCAACGTTAGTAAATCAAATTTATTGTGACAACCAGATACAGCGACACATAATTATTATAGATGGCATAGGTTAACATATAATTTAATTTTTGTGTGCTTTTAGCAAAATAATCGTAATTTATCACCCATAACGGAACGAAACGGTTCTGTTTGTATTATCTCATATCTTTGTCACGAATACTCTACATTTATAGCAGTTTTTATCTTATACCAGTTTTAAGAATTAAACAGGTTGCTAAATTCACGCGACAGCCGTGACTGATATTTCTTAGTAGAACTTACGACCATATTAGCGTTATACTATCATAGATAAAAGTTGTAAAAAAAAAGAATCTTACCTTGTGTCATCGTATCAATAATTTTTTTAAAATAAATATTCATATATTTATTATTTACTCAAGTAAACTTTGTACAAAGTCATCTGTTTGGGAATCTCCATTGTACCCGACTTCAACACTCAAGCAACTTGTTTTGATTGAAGACCACTGAGTTTATATGGTATGGAGGTATGTCGTCGTAGTCTTTCATGAGTCCAACGCATGAGTGATATTCGTGGTGCTGTTTAGGCAAACGGGCACCGTGTGGCTTGATTGGCCATTCCAATGTCATAAAAAGATATGTGATCTGATATACTTAGTATTCCCCTAGGTAAATAACGGAACTATTTTCACTGAACATCATTAAGAAATAAATTTTCCATTTGGTTAGACATATTTTTCTGTGAATACCTAAATCAACAATTTTGAATGGCTTCGATGTTTTTCCATTCGTAAATAATTTCTTATTTTCATTACATATTATATGTATATTCGAAATTTTATTTTTCCGATACATATAAACATGTTTATACCAACATATGTATATTTTCTTGTAATTTTGATTACATATTGTGTACAGAATATGTAATAAAAATAAGAAATTATCGCAATTATTTTCTTTTCATTCATTTGTAATTGTTTATTTATTTCTAGCTGCTCAATAAGTATAAGAAAACATATAATTATGTCGATATACAATTTTGCTGGTCATGTTTGTAGGCAATGGTTACTACTTTCCATTAGGTGCGTTCCACCTTGTTTTTATAACTACCGACAGTACCTACATGCTTTTAAAAGTATTGTTTATGCATGGTAATCGTACGTATTCATTAATACACGGCAAAAAATTACTAGACGATAAATACGATAGGTGCCTAACGCTTTTGAAATTAAATCGTTTGAAACATAATCTTAATTGACAGATCTAGTTTTCGTTTTTATTGCTTATTAGGTACCATTATTAAATTATGGTTTTGCTTTCATTTCCGGGTAGAGTTTCGGTCTCAATTTAAGTGCTGTTGTGTACCAATTCTATGTAACATAGATTATTAGGATAGATTAATAAATGTGTATTTCTTTAGGACTCTACATAATATGACAGCCAATAAGGTATGAAAAGTAGTATAATATGTAGTATCATGAATATACTGTATGAAGCTATGCTTGCATATATATCCCTGGGAAATATACATAGCCTATTTTAAATTAGCGCAGCCTTCTGTAAGTGATGGAATATTTAGAATAGGTTGGTTTCATTCCACAATTCCCTTTAGATCCATGGCACTCGAATACGGGCTTTACCTGTACCAGGAACTATATTATTTTGTATATTTCATTTAAGGTTTCTCTCTGTAAATTTTGTATGTCTGTGTGTAAATTTTGATACTCATAGATCGTCGTGTGGTTCTACTCATTTGTACATATAGTCAGTCATTTTGCAAATGATAATCTTCTAAAGAAATGATAAACTGAAAAAACTGGAATAGAACTGAAATAATAACGGCTGGCTACTAAGCTCGCATTTATTAACAGGTTTTTTGCATTATTCCAAATCTTTCAAATAAAATACTAATTTTATCTGAAAAATTTAAATATATACTTAAAAATATTTTATAAAACATAGATATTTGATCATTTTAAAAA